AATGCGACCTGTACTTTGTTTACAATTTAACATGTACAGACAGACGGACGGACATGCTCATGTATTCACGGACATGCATAAATCGACTTAGAAAGTGATTCTATGCATATTCTCACAAGGAACCATGTGTCTATCTCGTTACCTTTTTCCTATTACAAACATATGCACAAAGATATAGTACCCTGTGCCACAGTGTGATGAAGGGTATAAATATACGCCTATTGTGGCTCTAGAGAAGTCATTTAAAAAAAAAAATGTAGTCATATTGTGGCCTTAAAAAAATTAATAAAAGAAATCACTCATATTGTGGCCCTTGAAAAATTATTTAAAATAAATCCAATTGTGAAAATGTGACCTTGGCGTCACTTAGGGCGTATGATTGTTGATAGTAGCAATACGCCACAGTGTTATTAAGGATAACATTTCGATGCAATGGAATATTTAAAATTTTAAATGGTATTAATAAATATAATTTAATGTCTTTTTTAAGTTATTCGAAATTTTTCATTTACAACCAATATTTTGAATTAAAAATTTTAAAATTATTGTTACACACTGTGTTGCTTCTGCTCAGGATGATGATGATTTGCCAACAACAACTCATTTTTTTTTTTGTTGATTCTGTATTTCGTTTCTAAACCAGACTAAAGCAAAGTTCAATTTTAATTTTTTTCTTTTTCAGTTTCAATTGAAATAATCTCACAATACAGGGAAAGCCAAGAGTTACGCCGCCTAGTCAAGACGCAGAGATAAGTCATCACATCACAACACATCACACACAAAAGGGAGAGCAGGGATTTTTTTTTGGGTAATAAACCATAATAGTCTAGATATTTATGTTCTCATTTTGTTGATGTTGTTGCAATTCTTAAAACAGTGATTTTTTGCTGTCCAAGAAATTGAACTTCTTATCTGTCCCGCAAAAAAAATGATGCTAAACGCCAGACATAAAGGTTGAAGACAATTTTCGTTTTCATTTATTTTTTTTAATTTGTTTAAGGTCTCACAGATTGATTCACGGTATCTGTCAATATATATATGAATGTATGTATGTAGTATGAATATAATGTGCACTTAAAGCTGCTGCGACCAATTGTTGTTTTCAAAAAATTAATGTTTACTTTGCAAAAACACATTTGCTACTGAACTTGAAAATCCATTCGAAACTATGTGCATATGTGGCGGACCATGCCAGGTCAGGCCATGAACACACATCAAAATCCGCCATCCTGTTGACTTGACTTGTTACAGTTTTCCATTGTTGTATTTACTAGTTTTTCACAACAATAACAATGAAATAATAATTGTCACAAATAGAAGATAGAAGTCTCATTTGGTGTTGCCAAGCCAAAGGAAAGGTCCTGGAGGCCTGTGGGTCTTTGTTACTGTTTCTCATGTGAACAACAACCAACCACCTACCCTCCCTCCCTTCGGTTCCAATTAAATAAACCCAACAACAAACCATTTCTGTTTTTTCAACAATTTGTTGTTAATTCCATGGATGATGACTGAGTGGCGTGTTGTGTTCGGTGTTTTGCCTTTTCCGCAAAGCTTTTGTTGTCCCCATAATTATTGGCATTTGTTGAAAACATTAATGAGCGTTGAAAAAGCATTTATTAAATGCTAAACCATTGACAGAGGAGGGGAAGAAAGGAAAAAAACAGAGGCGATATATCTTTCCACTGCAAATCATTATCATTTAACATTGTACTCATATGAAAATATCCTGACAGCTTGGTCAAGATGGCATCTGAATGGGAATCGAAAAAAAAAATCCTGATTTGTTTACAATGTAGTAATTTGTACAATAAAAATGTGTTTTTGTTTTGTGGAAGTGAAAAAGGTGTTATAATGATAAATCAATAATGATGAAGGTCATATCAGAAAGCTTGAACGCACTAAGCAGAAGCTAGATCAAATTTGCTAGATCAGAAGGAAACTTTGAGTACGCTGTACTTAAGACGGGACATATTACTAAGATAATCCATTAGCATTTTAGTGGAAAAGATACGTAGAAGGTATTCTAAAAATATCCTAAAAAATCTTGAAAAGGTTGTCCTCCATAGGGAATAAATGCCCTTGGGGATGTATATTAATAATTCCAAAGTTGGGCAATCTAGTTCACGGAGCGGATCGATCTTTCTCGTTTCTTTTTTTTAAGGAACGAGTTCCTTAATATAGCTCATTTGTTCCATATAATTCCAATGAGAACGAGATCAGAAAAAGAAACTGTAGGAACTAAAGAAGTGGACCTAGTTCATGTCCTTTTTTATCGGAATAGTTCCAATAAACTAGTTCGTTCCGGAAGTCGAGTTTTTGAGTTATAGTGTGATACATTTTTTGATGCATAGCCTTTTACTTATATCCGTCTGGGACATGAGCCACTTCAATGACGCATGGTCAGTGATTATAGTGACCTCATGTCCATCGACGTAGGGTCTGAATTTTTTTAACACATAGCATTGCTGTTAAGCATTCTTGTTCGGCAACTGAATAATTGTGTTGGGCTTGGTTGAGTTTCTTTGACATAAAAGCGATAGGAACATCTTCACCCTCCGCATTCTTCTGTACCAATACGCTTCCTATTCCTGTCCTGCTAGCATCACAGTGTTTATAAAACGGCTGTTAAAAATTCGGACTTCCAGGGACGGTAAATGCAGTCTTCTCCCGAGACTTCTGATCCAACAGAATTTGCCAAAAGGCATCCTTCAGGTCTAGATTTGTAAAATATATGACCTTTGGCAGCCTAATTAATATGCCGTCAATATGAGGCAGAGGATAGGCATCTCCTACAGTAACAGATTTTACCTTCTTGCTTTTCAAACACAGTCTATTTTTGCCCTGTTTCCTGTGAAGGACAACGGGTGAAGACGAAGGGCTGTTAGATTCCTCGATCACATATAAAACTATCATCCTATACTGGAAAATGGCGCTGCTTTATTGGTTTAGCATCACCCGTATCAATTGTGTAGCAGAGAACATCTGTTCTCTGCTTTTGACAACATTCAGCTTTCCAAATTTAAATGATGCCTTTGCCAATCCTTGCCACGTTTGCCCAATCCTTGCTCAAGAATATCTACGAGCTGACTTGTGACAGAACATTTGTTTCATAAGTCGATTTAAAAAGGCGTATCGGTCTTCTGCGCAGATCATCCAATATGACAGACCATGTTCCGTTATGTTCTCATCCACTTGATCTGAACGGATAGGGCTGTCGATTGCGGCTTTATAGTCGATAAATAGATGAAATGAGTCTATGTATTTTTCGTGGGTCTTTTCAAGGCTTTAGCACAGAGTGAAAATCTGGTCAATGGTGGAAGCCGCATTGGCATGGTCCAATAATGTCATAGACTATTGGCTTATATGACAGTATGCTGAGGTTCCTGATCAGTTGGTGCATGTCCCTGACCGTCATCTGATCACCGGCCTTGAATAGTTCGGCTGGTCTTGAATAGTCACCTCTTATTGGTTCTGGGGTATCTTCTTCACCGCCACTATTAGATCCTCAACACGCCATCTGAATCTGTCACCAAGTTTCCATCTTCATATCTACAAGAAGATTTACCTGCATTAAAACCTTCGTTTTGGTATTTTACTCGTTGGTAAGATTTCCGGACTTCGTTCTAGCTCTTGTACATCTCGATTTGCTCCCGCTCACGTTTTTCTTGTTCTTTCTTCTGAAAATACATTTCTCTTCTCTTCTTTCTCGCATTACGAGTTGCTATTGTTTGCAGGGTTGCCCTATATCCTGCGCTTTTTCCATCAGTAGCATTATGACACTCCTGATTTCTTGATGGTGGTCTTTGGTACCCAAGTGTTGCATAAGAGAAAGGTATGGCATTAATAATGGAAAGAAATATCAGCTAAATGGCTCTTGCACCACGGACCATTTAATGTTCATAAAATGTGGCATAAGTGGGGTCCTCGATAGACTTACGAACTCTGTCTTTGAGGTCTTGAATACACGTAGGGTTCTTAGCGTAAACCTTATCTTTCACATCACCCCAAAGAAAGAAGTCGCACTGTGTTAAATATCTGCCATAAATCTGATAATCTCTTCGAGTCGGTCCAAAAAATTTTCCGGTAAAGGAGCATTGGCCTTGTTTTTTGCGTTACACGCCATTTAAAAAAAAATGTCCAGATCAATACCATCATAAAACCTTATTAGTAACCTATGGATAGATACAATCCATTAACCGTAATTGTTGAGGTTAAGCCTCATTTTCGACGAAGTAAGAATTACGCCGCAGGACCATACATCGTAACAAAGGGCACACTTTGAGACTTTTCGGCAGTACCCCTGAAAACAAGGCATTAAATTCGATCAAATTTAATTTTTCTCCCACAGATCTCTGCTAGTACAAAGGCATCTATAAATAGGATGAAATTAACATCATGTGGTAGTAATCTGTAAAAAAATAAATATAATATGTAAAGCCATAACTGCAGAGTTGTATGTTCCTTATTGTCCTCAAGCAAGCCTACCTTTATTATGCCATGAGTTCTATGCTAATTATCGAACTGGTTTTATGCAATTATTAGCAAAAGAAACGTAAATACAATTAAAAATATTTAATTTACCGAAATTTAAATAATTTTGCATTATCAACTAATTTTATTTAATATATTATTATTTTTAATTCAAACCGAGTAATCGTTAATCGAACATATGACCAAACATACAAACCATCTGGCATCTCCGTCACCTCCTCTCGTTTGTTTTGATTCTCATTCGCCACGGTTGGTCCTCGTCTCGTTTGCTTTGACCTCATTCGTAAACACGAGGTTTGTCCTCGTCTCGTTTGCTTTTCAACTTCATTCGCCAGGTTGGTCCTCCGCTCGTTTGCTTTCACCTCAGGTTTACAGGGTTGCAATTAGCAAACTCTGAATGTGAGCTACCCTTGCTGGCTGGACTGAACACATGTTTATGTTTAGCTCATATTCAGTTCACTTCGTTATTATATTAACAAATAATTAAAATCAATTTAATATCACATAAAATGTTAAAGAAAACCAAAAGTAAACAAAAATCAGTGGCAGAGAAAGTAGCCGAAATCATTGCCCATCCCAATGAAAGCGATAGTGAATCGGAAAATGAGGCATTATCGAGAGTGCGAATGGTTGATTTCGATGAGGATGAATATCAATTGCCCGAGGTGGGAACAACGGAATTTAGGAAACGTAATGTAAAGCTGTTGTCTGAACAAAGTTCCAAATATAAGGGGAAAATAGCATCGAGGAAGGATTTTGAAGAAGACGAAGAAGAGCAGCAATATGAAGAGAGTGATGATGAAGAGGAGGATGATGATGATGAAGCCAATGAAAGTTATGAAGAAAGTGATGATGATGACGAGGAAGCTTTAAAGAAATTTGGGGATGTCCTAAAGCAGAGCCAGGTTGGTTATGATGATAGTGAGGAGGATGGAGAAGATGAAGAAGAAGGAGGATCTGGAGGAGAAGAGGATTTGGATGATAACGAAAACGACGAGGATGATGAAGATGGTGAAGAGGAAGATGATGATGAAGAAGACGATGATGACGAAGAGGAAACCCAAGTCATTAGCAAAGTAAATCGTGATGCCGAAATTCAAAAAGGTATTTGTGTACAAAATCAACTAAAACTATGGGAACGTTTGCTGGAAATGCGTATTAACTTCCAAAAAATCCTTGCGAAATCCAATCAACTGCCTTCACCAACTGAATTGAAAGAGCTTGAGTCAAAGAGCGATAAAAATAAATCCACAACTCAAGAAGTAACAAGGCAAACCCAAAACTTATTACAAAATCTACTAACACTGCAGGATAACCTCTATGGCCAATATTCGGAATTGAGTAAAACACTTAAACCCACTGCCACAAAACGTCCTTGGCCTTTCAAGCAAAAAAATAACAATGATGAACCACCCATTAAGCAGATGAATAATTATCTGCAAGATCGTTTTGATAATTTCCGTTCATATCGTAACACTGTTCTCTTGAAATGGGACGATCGTACGAAATTACTGCAACCCGGTGCTGGAGCTAAGAAAAAATCAATGAATGAAGAATTTGATATTATCAAAAAGATCAATAATGTCCTAATGAATAAATCGTTACTTGTTCAGAAATCACAACAAATAAAAAATAACAATCAAACACAGCCGAATGTTGAGAATTTAGAAAACCAAGTGGATGCCACGACAAATGTAAATATTTATGATGACAGTGATTTCTATCACCAACAGTTGAGAGAACTTATTGAATATAAGGCAAATACCACAAGTAATATGAGCGAGGTGACCAAACAATATTTGGAACTACAAAAGCTGAGACAAAAAATGAAAAAGAAAGTCGACACAAGAGCAAGCAAGGGTAGGAAACTGCGGTAAGTTGGAATGGATTTTTGTAAACGTATTGGGAACTGTGTTTTGAACAACTTTTTTTGTTTTATATATTTTTCAGTTATATTGTCCACAATAAACTTATCAATTTTATGGCTCCCCATGATAATTGCACTTGGAATGATGAATCGAAAGATGAACTGTGTAAATCATTATTTGTATGAAGAACTAAAAATAATATTTTTAAATAGAGAATGTTTTACAAAATATAACATTATTGAATAAAAAAGATTACATTTAACGGTTTGTAATTGAAATATCCATACAATTGTAAATTCATTTTTTTTGATGGCGGTTTGTGAGAAAACTAACAAAATCTAGAAAGGTCACATCCTCCTCATTGTATCCATAAACACGGCGGTAACAATTTTATAGACGTTAAAGCTATTTTTGATAACATAGCTTTCTTCTCCAAAATAGACCCCAATCGGATCTTAAGCTTTGTCAAAAATGTGGCACGGATAAAAAAAAACACCTTGTACATGTACACCTCCGAGTGTAAGGTGTTTTTGGTTGTTGTTGTTGTAGCAGCTTATTGCTTTTACACAATGGGCTGAGGTGACATACGTTGGCCAAGTAAGACTCGGGTCGTTTCGGATCGTAGACCCCTCTGTCGTGTTTTTAGTGATCTTTGTTGATATACTCCATGATTTCAACTGTAATTTTTGACCTATTAAAACCTCGTTCTCTTTGAATAATCGAAACGACTGTCCTCACCTCCTTATGGCATTAATAACAAGTCCAAGTTTTTTTATATTTAATAATAATTAGTTTTATTCTTCATTTTTTAATTCAAATAATAATTATTAATTAAATAATTTTTTATATATTCATTCATTCACACTAAACAATGGAATGAATACACAGAATCATTTCCCAATTTTTCTTTTCCACAAATTTGTTTTTTTTTTATATAAATTTTCCATTCTTTGTTTAGGTGACAAAATTGATTAAATGTTTGCAATTGTTTTTAGTACAAAAGAAAATTAAAAATTGAAATTTAAACATTAATTGGATTTACTTCTTTTTTACTACAGAAAAAAGAAGCATTTTTTGGAATAGAATTAAATTTTTTGTTTGTTTTAAAAAGAAAAGAATGAAACATAAACTGTTTGAGGATTTTGTTTGTATTATTTTAAACTGTTTCTTGGGATTTTTTCTTTTTTTGCTTGTGTGTCTGTTGTCTTTGCCTTTCATTTAGGTATAAATAAAAACTTAACAGTTTTATTTTCGTTTAGGTTATTACTACAAGTATAAATATTTTATGTAATTATAATTCTTGTTTTCTTTTATTGTTAATATTAGGGTTATAATATTGTAGTTGGGTTCAAGGTTCCTACATTGTTTTATTTTATTTAATTTATTTTTGTTTTGTTATTTTTCCTTTAAACAAACAGTTGATGATGATGACGGTTACATTATTGAGTTGTTTTATATGGGTGAGTGAGTGAATGTGTGTGTGTTTATGTGAGTTATATGTATGTGTATGAATGTGAGTTTTAATTTTATCTTACGCCTTTGTGTTGTATATTATATAAATATTATTATTATTAATTTTTTGTTTATTTTCTATTTAAATTAATATTACTTTTTTCATTCGTCGTAATGTTCTCAATAATATTATTTAGTTTGTCTTCTTCTGCTTCAAAACACCGCCTAGATACCATGTGTGGTATCTACAGGTTTACCTTTTTCGTTTACAACATTTGTGAAAATGATGATAATGATGCTTGAAAATTACTCTGGGGTGGTGTTTTTTATTTAATCGTATAAATCCCTTAAATATATGACTTGTATATGATTGATGGCAATGTGTTAGGGGGGTAGGATCACCATCAAGCAAACACATATACCAATTTGTTGTTGTTGTTAGACTATATTCTTTTTGTAGCAATTTTCTTGGTTTATTCTAAATCAAATATAAATTATAATATCAATTTTGTTAATGGGTTGTTTTTTCGTTTTGATTAGTATTTGCTAATTATTTATGCTATAATCGAGCAATAATAATTTTATGTTTTTTCAATACACAATAACATATATAATTTTTGCATTTAATTATTATGAATTGATTTTTAATTAAAACAAAAAAACAAACAAAGCAAAATGGCTTTTGGGAAATTATACAGAAACGAATGCTTTCGTTAGAGATTCGTAATTCGTAAAAGCAATTAAATGTTAAGTAAAAATGCTGAGGATTGCTGCTTAACAATCCCCTAATGTGATGATTATGTAGTTGATGATATACAAATAAAAATAAATTTCGAGTATATATATGGAAATACTTTTGGTACACAATATAAAAAAATACATATTGCACAAAAATTCTAATACAAAAAATATTCAATAAATACACTAAGAGACATTAAAAAAAGAGTATACAATAATATCTAAACATCACCAATTGTGATGTTAGAACATACAAATATTTTTTTATATATAAATATAACTATAGCACAGAGATATTCTAAGGAAAATGGGTCTGAGAAACTGGGCAGCCGTAAAATGTCAAATTCACTGATTTTATGTGTTCGTGTGTGGGTGTGTGTGTCAAGAAGATTTCACTTTTTTGGTATTAATTTTTTTTTTTGTTAAACTCTATCCTATTTGCTGAATTTTTGTCCTAATTGTTAATGGAATTTTTTAATAGCAAAGGTAAACCGGTTTTGGTTTTCGATTTTGAAACCAATATTGTTGCAGTTTTACCAGCACCACCAACACCAGCGGCACCAGACACAACATATGTGGCTGGATTACTGGTTAGATTAGGTTGTTTTTGTTGTATGTCATGCAAAAGGTGTGTATGCTTGTCGAGAGCTTTTTGTAAATTGGAGGTTTTATCACTGGTTGCAGCAGCAGCACCAGCGACGCCCGAAGGCATCATGGCCGCTGCAGGATTTTGTGGACTTTGATAGATTTTCATAGGATCATGACACGTTTCGTATAATGATTGTAGCTGGGATTGTATGGATGTGATATTTGATAGTGTACTTTCTGAGTCTGCCAAGGCCAAACCAGATGTAGGCTTTAAATAATTACGTATGGATGCAGCATTTTCTTCAGAAATCTAACAACAAATATTTCAAATAAATATGTGAATAATTTCAATAAAATGTTACCGACTTACTTTCTTATAATAACTTGGTACTGAATCTGTATCTCAAGTACTTTTTGGTGGATGAATAACATTTTCCATATCTTTTTGCACAGCAAATAACTCCGATAAATGTTTGGCGAACAAAACATTCAGCTCACTCATTTTGGTCATCTTTAATAATACAAAAAGCAAAACCACATTATTGATATAAAAATAATTATCCTCTTTAGAGATGACTTACAGCTTGATCATTGCATTTTTCTCTTAAATTCATGTTGGCTGTTTTAAGTTCCAATTCTTGATTCATAAGCTCATTTTGTAACGATTCATTGCGTGCTTTTAGAACGGCCAATTCACGTCTTAATTCTTCGACCAATTCACTGCTGGCAGCTCCAGCAGCCACAACCGAATTTGGTACTGGTGCACCGGAACGTATTAATTCAATTTCACGTTTTAGTCGTATATTTTCCTCCTTATAGGTGTGCAACTGACGTTTCCATTCATCAACATTGGCAGTTGATTCCTGTAAAAAAAATCTTTTTTTGAAGAAATCTTTTTATCACCCTAACCATGATTAACTAACCTGAAGGGCGCTGGTCAAACGTAGATTGTTATTTTTCAAAGTGGCTAATTCGATTTCCCATTTCTTTGCATTGGCACAACTGCAAAACAAAAAAATTGTCACTTTTTAAAAAGACAATTGTTTTTTTACCCCTTACCTTTGGGCCAAAGCCATTTTCAAACGTTCATTTTCATACTTGAGCTGTTGTTCGCTCGTTGCTGCACCACCACCGGTATGCATGCCAACAACACTACCTCCGCCGCCACCACCACCACCCGCACTTACATTCACCATGGGAGCGGGGGAGGGAGCAGATGTCACATGTTCTGGCTTTGTGTCTGCAGCAGTCGTTAATAGTTTGTGTGATGGACTATCCGGATTTGCATTTTGAGTATTAGTATTTGACATATTTGGTGGTTCCACCGAATGGGGATCAACCATGGCGGCATTGTCGTTTTGTTGTATTGCTGCCGTACGTGAACTAATGGGCGATGTATTTGCCGATGTTGTTGGAGTTACCGCTGTAGAACCTACTCAGACATAAACGATTAAAACAAATTATGAAATTTCGAATTGCAGACGACTTACCATTGGCCGACTTTAAGGCATTCTTTGTGGCTTCCTTTACCTCCTGGAATTTTTCCACAAACTAAAAAAAAAAAACAATAAAAAATTAGCAAACTTAGCACACAAGTAAACAAGTGCCTAACCACACATACCTTTGTCAGTTCCGCCTCCGAGGCAAACCCTAAGCCATACACCGTATTGGCTCTTACATCACTCCATTGACCAAATTTCTGTGATGTTTGTGTAAATGTCATATTGGGTGTTATGGTTGAGTTAATAACCGCCTTTGTGCCCTCAACGCTGATAATGCGGTACAGATTGCGTGAAGAATCATAAAAGAAACTAACATTGACCGCCTTCATACTGGCCGTTATCCAGGTACGCTTGGTCTTCGGATCAATATGGAAGACATGCGCTTGACATGTAAATATCGGTTGTTCGCTGAAAATGTACAACAAGGAAATTACACAGAACTAATTAAAAACCAGAAGATATGTTTAATAATTTACACCTTGCAACAATAAATCTCACTTCCTTGACAAACACACACACACATACATCTGCCAACAAACCCAAGCAACTCATTATAAATTGTAGTGTTATTTACATATTCACTTTACCCGGGGGACACGTAAAATTCTCTGCCAAACATGAATAGGCTTTTGATGTAAAAAAAATTTAATTAAAGCCTGCAACAACAACACCAGCAGCAAAAATGAACAATGCCCCTACAAGGAAGGCACTCTAGAATTTGTACATTCTTCATGTCTTTTTTTCGATTTGAGGATGAACTGCTGCTATTTTTGTTGGCGTTGTTTCTCTCATTTTTTTTTCGTCTTCAATTTCTTGACTTCAAACAACTCCCCTGCCCCGACAGTGAATTTTCTTTTGCAAAAGGTTCTTATTATGTTTACTACACTTTATGTTTTAAATCACTTAAATCGGAATGTATACATTTCGAGCCGATAGTATTAAATAAACTTACCCCATCTTCTAGAAATCAATTGTACAAATTTTTAAGTATTTTTTTTTTCTTCGGTCTTAAAAGTGGTTCTGAAGTTTTGCAAGAATAAATTCTACCCAATTCGATTTTTCGCTGTCGACGAATGCTACTCTGCCACTGCTCTGCTTCGTATTTGTTCTTCTTCTTTGTAGAAATGACAACAAGGGTTAAGTAAAATGACTATCGATGATTAATCGATATTTTGTCATAGAAGGTTTACATAATCGATGTTTTAATGACACGTTAAATTAATTGTAAATTATACGATGTTTTCTTCCCAGACCAATTAATGCCAAACGTGAAACGTTTGTTCTGTATTGTAAATATAAGGTAAATTACCTTAAATTAATAATATAACTTTAAATGTATGTCAAATAAGTGAAGAGTCTACATATTGAGTTAATTGTGTGTGATGTCATCGAATGTGAGGTTCATGTGTCAGATGCAAAGTTCAAAAAGATTAGCATATGTATTAGAAAGTAGGCTCTATCTACCCACTATGGTAAAAAAAATATTTTATTTGAATATTCATCGTTGTAGGACGGACAGTCTGTAGTTAGTAATCGATGAAAACTTTACAATCGAGACTGTTGCTACGAACGCATTCATACCGAACGTTTTATGATATATTCATGGTATAATAATAGAAGGTAACAGCAAGTGTTGTTGTACAAAAAACGATACAACAACCACATGGAAATTTGTTGTTGTTTTAGTGTCAATATATGACAGAAAAATGTAAACAAACAAATTATCATCAAATTATTTTTATTTTGAAAATGAAATATTTTCGAATCCTCAAAAAAAAATTTGAAAAACATGAATGAAAATCTATCAAATTTGTATTTCTATCGCTTCCACATCTTTCCTATAATTGAGGCATTGCCACTTATATGTGTAAAACACATGAAAATGGAGGGATTTGCGAGTTATTCCATGAAGAATGATTTGCTTCCTCAAACTTTCCCAGCAGGCAGATTGAGAAAACTGAATACGAGAGCACATTTAATAAAGAACAATTACAAATTGTATGCGTTCCCAATTTTCCTGTTGGGTGATTTTTAAAAACATAATTTGTCAAATTCATATTGACACTAGTATTACGTTGGAATCATATCAGCTGGTATTTGCTGTTACCTTTTATAATTGTACCATGTGATATATTGTAATTTTATCGTCATTATGTTGTCATTTTCTTTGTATATCTGTCAAATAAATGATTTCCTCTTAAGCAGTGTACACACTATCTGTACTGCATGACCGTTTATGTAAATTGCTGTTTGTTTTTAGAACATTTCATTATTGACAATAAATCTGACAGCCTAAACGGATAATTGCCCTGTTCTAAACCCTGCAGGAATCTTCTAAATATTACAAGGTAGGGCACAGCTGCCAACTGATTACAATTTTTTCTCAAAGTGGCTTGTCCCATGAACTCAAAATACATGTTTTTTTGTATGTGTATTGGTCTTTTCCCGTACTGCAAGAATCTAATATTTTCTCCAATAACACGTTCAAGGATATCCAAAATTTGGCATTCTCCATTTAAAGTAACAAAACTATTCTTGAATGCATTGACTAGGTTTGTGGCTTCACTATTACTGAAGTGCACGATGAGGTTCTCTTTTATTCTAATGTGGCATTACCATAGACTAAAGAAACTATTATTTAGTCTATGTTACTAGGCAAACACTAATTCGATGATTCGATTTTATTGTAGCATACTTTTAGGATGACACGAAACATAAGTTCCGTTCCAGAACCTAAAAGAATCTACTCATTTTACATGTTTTGCAACTTTTTACTCGAAAACCGTTCCTCAATCCACAAAACTGGTAAAACATTAACTCAAATTTAAGAGAGCACAAAACAAAATGGCGTTCTCTTTGTAAACTTTTTACTCGAGAAATTTGGTCGAGTAAAAATGGTAAACAGGAATGCCTACTTCTGATTGGCTGTTATGTTGATTTTGAAGTATTGGCATATAATTTTGGCATATTTACTAGATTTGCGTTCCCGAACTTTTCAAATTATTTTGTACTCTGAGAGCAATTTTGAAATGTTTCCTTTTTTACTAGATGTACTATTAAAAAAGTACTGGAACATACCAATAAAAATAAGGAGATATTTAAAAAGAGATGTTTGTCGCAAACAAAAATCGGCAAATTTTTTATTTATTTTTAACGGAAAAATCAGAAAACATTTCAAAATTTGAAAAAAAAGCATTAGTATAATAACATAAATATTAGTATATAGTATTATAATCAAGGATTTTTTTTGGTTCAAATGCCACCACAAAACTCATTGCAGAATATAAACAAAACCGAGGACTTCATTCAAAGTTGTTATTTCAAAAACATTATCTTCAACCCAAAAAATATTAATAAATAGTTCTCTGTGATCATTTTAGTCAGAATTTTGTTTTTTATTCGTATTAAAATCTATTGAATATTACGATCAACAAAATTCGATTTTATCACCTAGCAATTTGTTTTCCATTCCACTGACAAGTTCATTAATCGATTTATCCCCATAATCAACCTACATAACCCTAATCGGGTACAAGTACTCAACTATTCAATATTTTCCCAACACTATCTAATAATAATCCACACAAAAAGAGAGTTTTGATGAAATAACCGGAAAATATTCGTTTTTAATAATGTTTCCACAAATAAAATTATAAAATTTGAAAAATACTTTCGCAAACGCCAACCGCAAATGTGAATGATTCGCCCCGAAGTCATAAAATAAGTAAGTGTGCCAAAACAAAATTGGATATTGGATCATGGTTGTAGTGTAGAGACATTTGAGACGACGAATGTATGTGAAGAGCGAAAAAACGAAGAAACGAATGAAGGTGCATATGTCAAATTTGCGATAGACGATATTTGGCGATTTGGCTGAATGACTGAACAAACTAACTGACTTAACCCAACCGAAATCCAACAAATCAGAAAAAATAGAAATGATGTGATTGGAGGTGTGAAAAATAATGGAACTCGAACAAGCGGATGCATGCTCCACTGAATGAATATGGTTACTTCCTTCGAATTGTGCCAGTAGTTTTTTTTGTGAGTGTTGGAGAAGAAGTTTGTGTTGTATGGGAAGTTTTGCCGTACAAAAAAGGTGGTGGTTCTCTTATCCGAGACGACATGTAAATGTAGGTTGGCGTTGGCGTTAAAGCAAAAAATTCCTTTCTATAACTACGCCCATGCTGTGTGAAGAAAACTTACTAACTTACAAATATGTTTTGGTTTTTGTTATTTTTTGTGTGTGCGTTTTTTTTTATTTTCAAAACAAATGATGAATTGTTTTATAATGGAAATGTCTTGATTGATTCTTCTCCTCCGGGTTAAAGTTTTCTATTTGAATGCGGTATACATAAAATGTGGAATATGATGTGCGACGTGATGCCAACTATATCGGAGGATAGCATCTCCCAGCGTTCCTCACAGTTCAGCGGCGAAGATGCGAACTTTGAACAGTTGATGGTGTCCATGTTGGATGAGCGCGACAAGTTGATGGACAGCCTTAGGGAGGCGCAAGAACGTTTGAGTGAAACGGAACAGAAACTGCATGACACCGAAAAGGAGAGGGACAGTTTACAACGCCAAATAAATGCAAATCTGCCACAGGTAAAAAATATAACTTTAAATCGATATTGTTATTGTGATTATTATAAAATGGTTTATTCTTATAGGAATTTGCAACATTGACCAAAGAACTAACCCAGGCCCGTGAAACTCTGTTGGAGCGAGATGAGGAAATTGGGGAACTTAAGGCGGAACGCAATAATACCAGGGTATAGCCAAAAGCTTATCTGAACTTTGGGATCTTTTTTTAATTGCATTTATAAATTTCTTGTAGCTCCTGCTTGAACATTTGGAGTGTTTGGTTTCTCGCCATGAACGTTCTTTGCGTATGACGGTTGTTAAGCGTCAAGCAGCTGCTCAAAGTGGCGTTTCAAGTGAAGTGGAAGTTCTCAAGGCCCTTAAAAGTCTTTTCGAACATCATAAAGCTCTGGATGAGAAAGTGCGTGAACGTCTACGTGTTTCATTGGAACGCAATAACGCTCTAGAAGCTGAGCTTAACACAATCAAAGAAGAGGTAATTTAAAATCTGATTTGATTTTCTGCATCAACTAATTGTTTTGAAATCAAATTTACAGCTTCAACAGTATAAATCAGGGGCAATTCAAGCCAATAATGAAAATGCCGTAAATGGGGAAAAGGTAGGGAGCCTATAAAACAAAATAAAATACGTTTTAAAGTTGAATTTAAATTTCTTTATGTCGAGGAAATTTATAATGTAGTCAATGTAAGGAAGGTTTTGAAAAAAAAAATACAATTTTCTTTAAACTCGAATTTATAAAGTGAATTTTAAGCTACAAATATGTTGGGTTTAAGAATCACTTCATTTTGGAAATGGTTTCCAATTGGAAGCTAGCATGTTCCAATCGGAAAGATTGTCATTTAAAATACTCCACACTTTGTAACAACTAATCTTGTACCTGTTAGATCGGGTGCAGGTACAGATGTTAAATACATTTGAGAATCAGAGAGATTAACCCAAACAGTTCTATTAAAATAAATTATGTTACTTTATTTTTAAAACAAAATTTAAAAAAATATTTTGCCCTTTCCTTTAATATTTCACTAATTAATAAAATTACTTTTGCATCCCTCCATTTACAGAATTCCACCGCTGTCAATGGTGAAAGCAATGAATCTGCCATCGCTGCTGCAAATGAATATGCTGCCAAAACACATGAATTGCAACAAATCATTGAGAAGCAGGTGAGTGACGCTTTTGAAAATCAATACCATCACATATTTTTAATACATTTCTACTAAAACAAAATATATTTTTTCCCCGTTTCGTTTTCACCATGCATCAGACCTCTGAATTGTCTGAATGGCAGCGTCGCGTATCTGCCTTGAAGAACAAATGCGACGAACTTGACGACAGTCTGGCAAAGGTTCAAAAGGATTACATGAAATCGCAAGAACAATGTTCGAAATTGCAAAGAGATTTAAGAGAGAACGTAGCACAAAAGGAAGATCAGGTATTTAATCCGGAAATATATAGAATTGCTCACTTGTTCTCACACACACATTTGCTTAATCCCCCCGCAAAAAAACACAACACAGGAGGAACGCATAGCTACCTTAGAGAAGAGGTATTTGAATGCGCAGCGCGAATCAACGTCATTGCATGATTTGAACGAAAAGTTGGAACAAGAATTGAGGCATAAAGAGGCCCAATTGAAGGTATTTATTTACAGCATTTGCTCCAGCAGCAACAACAACAAAATTCCTATTAATGTTATCCCTTCCCTCCAATCCCACTAAAAAAAACCAACACAGTTACACGAGGAAAAAATTAGTGCCATTGAAGAGAAGTTGGAGCTGGCTGAGCAAAAATTGGCCCAACAGGCCAAATTACAGCCAGACATGGAGGAACAGCTTAAAGCACGTATGGAAGCTTTAACAAAGGTAGGAAACAAGGTATGAATACGATCTCACATGCGTCAAAGAGGAATTAAAAAATGAGTAATATTCTTAACAATCTCTTAATTGTCTTGATTTCCTTTACAAAATAGAACTTAAGCAAAAAACCAAAAACAATTCAAACCCGAAAACTTCTTGGTTGCGAAAATTTAAATTCAGTCCTCAGTATACAACATAGTTTGTTTTCCAATTAAATTTATTTCTTCCTCTGAACGCACAAACCCTCAGTAATACTCTCAACAACAACAACAACAAAAACAATAAGTAAAACAATATAGCACCCAAAAAAACAACAAACATTCGACCACCATGCACAACCATAAAAAATTCATTTCGCTAACATTTTTCATTTGTTGTCTATAGATTTTATTTTGTAATGACGATTTTCCAAACAAGGTTCTAATTCTACTTTTCCCTTTTCTGCCATTTGTATTCTGGTCTCTCTTTATTTTACAAAAATAGGCCCAAGAACGACATGGTTCTGCCGAGGATCGTATACAACGTTTAGAGGCTAACCTGGAGGAGAAGAGTGCCGAAGTTGTGAGATTAAACCAAAGACTTAAAATGAACGAGGAGCATAATCTACGTTTATCCTCAACGGTGGACAAGCTGTTGTCAGAGTCTAATGAGCGATTGCAGGTGCATCTCAAGGAACGCATGCACTCCCTGGATGAGAAGAATGCCCTGACGCAAGAACTGGAAAAGGCACGAAAGGTAGCCGAGGATTTGCATCATGAGAAGAGCGACATCATGAAGGAATTATCGAAGACGCGTTTGGAAATTGAGAACTTCAAGCGCCAGTTGTTGCAGCAGGAAATCGCATACAACATCCAGCAAACAGAGGCATTAACACGTAGTCTATCGCCCAGTAGCGTGGTAGATGGAGGTCAGGCATTTTCTCGCAGTGCTTCCCATGCCAGTTTCGATACACATTCGCTGAGGCGGAATAAATCTCGGCTACAGGAGGAAAGTGAAAACTTTGCTCGTTCGATGGCCGAACAAGAATGGGAGAGCATACAGCAGGCTCATGCTCAGCAAGCGGCTTATGAAATTTCCGCAGCGGTAGCAGCAGCAGAATGTGAAGAAGCTCAGGTATTGTTTGGTGATGCGGATATAATGTCACCCACCGGGCATACGGATGCGCAAACCTTAGCGATGATGTTGCAGGAGCAACTAGATGCCATAAATAATGAAATAAGGCAAGGATTCGAATATGCACCAAAAACTAATTAAATCTAATGTATTGCTGTTGTTTTTTTCTGTCTTTAGATTAATACAAGAAGAAAAACAATCAACTGAAGCTCGAGCTGAAGAACTTGAATCGCGTGTAGGCAGTTTAGAACATGTGAATTTATTGGCCCGCGGTCGTTCTATGGATCGAAGTCCACCAATGAGTGGTCGCAGTACACCCAATAGTCCCAATCGAGATTTTATGCAGAAATACCACACGGTAAGTCATTGTTGTTGTTGTCATCGCAGGGAAGATATCATTTCTAATGCATGTATTTTTTAGCTTAATCTGCCCGTTTTATCCAGTGATGTTTCGCGTGATGATATCCATGGCATGACAACCACTACTGGAGATTCTAGTTCTGGCGGAGCCGCCTCGCCCCTAACAGCCCGCTCAATGCGCTTAGAACGTGTTGCTCAAGCATTGGCCCACAGTCAAGAGGAGCTGCGCAGACGCTCGATGGGTTTGTCACCCAACCAACAAATGGCTAATAACTCAGGTCACATGACCATACCTCATTCGGGTTATGGTCTTTCGCCGTTAAGTTCACGATACGGCAGTCAGGAATCCTTGAGCCGACACTTTAATACCATGGGTTCAATGTCAATGCTTCCACCGGCATCGTCGGGGGTACGTGTTGATGGTTCATCGGCGGTGCAAAAGAAGAAAGGCATTAAATCTAGTTTGGGCCGATTCTTTAGTAAAAAAGAAAAAGTCAAGGGTGTCAAAGATACTCTGCCCGATGGTTCACCTAGTATGATGTCCATTGGCAATTTATCGATGGGTCTAAGTGAAACCGAATCGAATTATGATGCAATGAGCATGACCGGGGGAATGATGCCACGCATAGCCAGTGTACCAGGTTCAAAAATCTCTTCCGTGGATTATGGCAGACAAAAGAAGTATGTTTTTATCGAGGTGAAGATGTAACATGTGATTCATTTGTGTGTGTTATTTACAGGGAACATGATTATCGCAATGATTTACTGGGCGAGGCTATGAAGGCTGGCACACCATTTGCTCTGTGGAACGGACCCACTATTGTTGCTTGGTTAGAATTGTGGGTGGGCATGCCTGCCTGGTATGTGGCAGCATGTAGAGCTAATGTCAAAAGTGGAGCCATTATGAGTGCTCTCAGCGACACCGAAATCCAAAGGGAAATTGGTAAGACAATGGCTATTGCTTGTCAAAGGTTTTACGATAATTAACATTTTATATTTTACTAGGTATCAGCAATCCTTTACATCGGCTTAAATTGCGTCTGGCTATACAGGAAATGGTTTCATTAACATCACCCTCTGCGCCACAGACATCACGAACAACATTGGCATTTGGTAATTTTGTTTTGGAAAGTTCACAATTTTTGTTATTGTAAAATTCATATTTGTTTTTTGGTAAACTTTCAGGTGATATGAACCATGAATGGATTGGCAATTATTGGCTACCCGGCCTTGGTTTACCACAATATCGCACAACATTTATGGAATGTCTGGTGGATGCTCGCATGCTAGACCATTTAACAAAAAAAGATTTACGCGGACAATTAAAAATGGTTGATAGCTTTCATCGGACAAGTTTACAATATGGTATTTCATGCCTAAAACGTCTTAATTACGATCGCAATGAACTGGAACATCGGAGGAAAATGTGTGAAAATGGCCTGTGTGATGTTATCGTATGGAGTAATGAACGTGTAATACGTTGGGTCTCCAGTATTGGGTTGAAGGTAAAGCGAATGTCATAGGAGTTGTTTCCATCATACAAAAGTAGCTTAATTTTAAGTTTTTAGTTTGAGTTTTTAATTAGTGCTATAGGTACATAATTATTATTGATATTGAATAATTTAAATTTGGCTATTTTTTCTTTCAGGAATACGCAAATAACTTGTTAGAATCTGGTGTTCATGGAGCTTTAATTGCGTTGGATGAAAGCTTTGATGCAAATGCAATGGCTTTGGCCTTACAAATACCTACACAAAATGCTCAGGTACATAGGATTTAAAATATAGATTGTGAAAATATCATGATTTGTTATTGATTACAAAAATGTATTGCTTGGATTGCTATTAACCCATTTTCTTTCTCCTTCCAGGCTCGCCAAATTTTAGATACTGAATTTAATAACCTATTGCAAATTGCCACAGATCGCCGACCAGAAAATGAACATCTTAATAAGTCCTGATCTTGCTCTCCTACAAATAATACCGCAACAACACATGTGCAGCTATTTAATACTAGCGAGTCTTAGGTTTTTTTACGGCAATATCATCAGCATCATTATCATCAACATTCAACAACATCATTAGACATTGCCGATTGTCACCAGTGAGGTTTTTGGCATTTCATAACGCCATACACTCTGGTGGTGACAGCTGGTGATGGCCATGTAACACAAAGAGTGGTTGTAGTGGTTGAGATGAAACACTTTTTGCACAGTGTAATAGCCTGTGATGAAACCTTAAGGCCTTGAAGCAATGAGAAACAAAACTAAAAAACAAACAAACGAGCAACAGTTATGAAAGTGTGGTCATTGTCAACGTGTTCATGTTTAAACCAAATTTATAATAGAAAAGCAAAACAAACAAATCGTGAAATATTATTATGATACTACTACGTATAAAAAACAAAACAAGTTGTTATACAAAACCGAAACAGAAAACCCGCAAAAAAACATACTTAATTATTTTAAGTATGACGTTAAGTGAATAATAACCCTATAACAATTTATACAATATAAAAAAACAACAAAACATGAAAATCATACTCGAAATGCTAAATACAACAATCCAAAACACTCCCCCGCCCTCTACACTAAAATACACACCCCACCCTCTCGCCCAAGTAAACACAACAAAGAAACACTGTGGATACAATGCAGATTTATTATAGAATAACAACAAAGACAGTATTTTCCTATGCTCCTCAAAAGATTTTTTCTATTCAAATATGAACATATAATAGCTTTGAATACTATAATACCCATATGCCCATTAAAACTTTTCCCATATTTGCTGCCATGCTCTAGCCCATCCATCCCCTCCAAAAAAGAAATTATGAATACGATAAAACTTTTCACTGTAATGATGATTGTTTTCATATTTTTTCAAAACGTTAAATATTTATTATTTTTTTAACAATTGAGTACATACATACATATTATATAGGCAAATGAAACCAATGCAAATCCATTAAGATTTATACATACAACATAGCTAAAATCTAAAAAAAACAAAACCCCTACATCTCTCCATGTGGAGAAGTAACTGATGATGTTAAAGGAAAAACAAGTATTAATCACAGCAAAACATACAAATAACTCTTAACTAAAAAAACTAATTAACAGCTTTAGGGCCAACATCTGTCACTACAAAACCAACAAACAAACAATAATTACGAGAAAAAACTACCTTGAATTTATAAAGAACAAACAAACCGGAATTCGTAAACCAAAACGAAACGAAAAAAGCATAAACCCCCCTTTAACATATAATACTTGTAGTTTCGTATATAACAATTATATATATAAAAAAACTAACACAAAATTCATTAATCTTAAGTTAAATTATAAATATTAAGCTAATATTTGGACAAAACTAAATACTATTCGCATGACTACCTACTTCTTCTCTCTTTGAATTTTTATGTTGAATGATAAAACGAAGATTATTTTTTTTCTTTCAAAATCTTTTGTTTATATAGTTTAATCAAGTGAGGCAAAAAATGACATAATATAATTATTTGAATTATATATATTAAAAAAATAGATAACTAGAAAAATGTTTGAACAAACTCAATTTATACAAAGCGGTAACAAAGTTTGTAATTGTGAAAAGAAAGTGAAACAAAAGTGTATTCATTTGTAACCACCAATCCCCATAAAATTTTTTTATTGTTTTGTTATCCTTTTTTATATACAATTAAATAATATTTACATTTAAAACAAAATATACAAAAAAATCTAATTTATTTGTTTCAAACAATTCTTTTTGTCCCTCCTCCACCTCCACTCTTTCCAATCCTCTGGTCTTTTTTGTTTTCCATGTCTTTTATGTAATATATTTTATGTGTTTAATTTTTTGTTTTCTTCTATAGATTTTGTCAGTGTTATGGTAAGCATAATTTTGTTAATAGTTTTTATTTTTTTGTTAAAAATTTTGTTAAGTGAATCTAGCAAGTCCTTTAATAAGTAGTTATACACACCTTTCCCCCACCCCAAATCCTTCTTAGAAATACTAATTAATGCTAAACTAATAGTAAAAAAAAACAAAAAACAATGCACTCCCAGATTAGCCTTTAAATTCTTCATAACCAATTAATAAAGAAAAACAGCAACAACAAAAACAAATAGTATAAACTTACTAATAAACAACAAAACCTTAACTCATATATTATTACATAACTATTATGATTATTACATGCATACATATATATACATAATGAAAAAGCAAAAAAACAAAACATATATAGTGAAGACATTTGTATGTACATACATTATAAAACTACTTATAGTGTGAATTAAAACAGAAAAAACCTTTTTAGGTTTATTTATGTAAAAAAAACTAATAAAGCAAAAAAATATACATAAAAAAATAAAATAAAAATCGGTTAAAACTGAGTAAAAAACAAAACAAATAACACAAACAATCCCGGTGTACTTAAGAAATGTTTGGAAATTTTTCTTAAGTTGGTAATAGCCGCTCTAAAAATATTTAATACAAAAAAACAATAACAAAAATGAACAAATATATGAATATTAATACGAAAAAATATTATTATTTCTTTTTCTTGTTTTTTTTTTCAGTCAAAGGTAATATTCGGTGTTTATGCAAGCTTTAATTAAATTAAGAAATCTTTGGAAAATTCGAAAATTGCCATGGAATTATGAAATTTGGAAAACAAAAATAATTTAAGTAACAGTTGGAAAGGAATGAGAATATTATTTACAAGATTCGCCAGACAATGGTTTTGGAGACCTGGGTTAGTTGGAATGTTATTAACAAATTTGAAATCTTGCTATTACCTAACAAATAATGGTGTCACTGGATTTAAGGTATTTTTTTATATAAATTTGTAGTTTTCTGTAATTTTGAGTTTTTAGTCCTACACCATTTCTATTAAATCGGAAGAAATTATATATGGAAGCTATATCTAAATCTGAGCCGATATTCACGAAACTTACCATACACCATTCTAAACTTAATTCAGTGCGCTATACCAAATTTCATGCATATCGAAAGATATATAGGGAATTTGGTGCACCATTTACATTAAATCGGACGAAATTATATATGGGAGCTTTATTTAAATCTGAACTGATATTCACGAAACTTAATACACATCATTCTAGACTTAATTTAGTACGTTATGCCAAATTTCGTGCAAATCGAAAGATATTTCGGGACTTTGACGCACCATTTACATTAAATCGGACGAAAATATATATGGTAGGTGTATCTAAATATGAACCGATTTCCACGAAACTTAACACACATCATTCATATAAAAAGGCACATAATTATGTAGAGAAATAATAAACTGCGAATTAAAAAACTGCGAATTTAATTCAATCGCAGATTTTTTTCCCATTATTCCTTGTATCTTTGACATCGTTCAATGTAATTTTTTGCCAATCTAAAAAAATGTTCTTTTCTGTAATCTGTTGTAGTTGTTGCACCAAATTACATCAAAACAATAAACAGCTGTTTCACATGCCATATTTTCAAACTTTAATTTATTTTCTTTACATTACACAGCAGTTTTACAGCGGATTCTTAACATTATTAAAATTATATAAAATTAATATTATTAAAAATGGAAAATTAATAACAAAAATATTGAAAATAATTTCAAAATAAAATACAATGGAGCAACACACATTACAACTTAAATTACAATATGGCAACACGAATCTTTTTTTCAACCACCATTTTCGAAAATTTGAATCCGCTTCTCGCACTTTTGCTTCTCCCTATTCATTCAGAATAAGGCGTGAATTTGAAAGCGAAAAAATTTTCACAAGTGAGATCTCACCCTAGCGAATATCCAGGATAAGGCTGATAATATGGCAACACGAATCTTTTTTCGAACACCATTTTCGAAAATTTGAATCCGCATACCGCATTTTTTGTTTCTGATTATTCATACAGAATAAGGCTAGAGTGTGAAAGTGAAAAAAATTTCATAAGCGAGATCTCTCCCTAGCGAATATTCAGAACCAGTTGACTAAAATAATAATTGAAGAACACCCAAAAGGTCACCGTTTCAAATCCCGAAACGTTGGCTAATGTAATTTTTGATATTCGGGCGAAATTAATAATCCTAGAACATAATTAGATTAGCGGAAATCATATTCGCCGTCGGATATGGCGTTTAATATGAGTACAACATGACGTATGAATGATGAAAATAAATAATAATAGGTATACGATTACATAAATAATAATAGGTATACGATTACAATCTACATAATTTGAATCAATCTGTAATCTGTCTTCTTCTATATTTTCTAACGGCATTGTTTGTTACGCGCATTTTATATTTGACACAAAAAATATCGCATATTCTATATACATATCAATCCATTTTCTCATATATTGATGACGAATGACACAAGCAATCAGCAACAATTTGCCTGACCAATCATGCAACTAAAATATTGTTAATCATTCATAAATATTAGACTGTATACAAACATATTTTTGTTTGTTTGGTTGTTTGTTAAACGAAACGATACGTGTGCGGGGCAAATAAACAAATCAGAACATGCCACTGTTTGCCAGACAGACAAATAGTCAGACGACATTTTTCGAACCTATCCTACAAAAGTTTACATTCATGTTTAACGCTTCCCATTCAATAAAACTTGAATACGCACACAATTGCTCTAGCACTTGCACACACACAAACATTACTCAACATGTGATATATCATGTCAGTATTCATGAATGGTGGATGGGGAGAGTATAACAAAGAGTTGGATGGCTGGTATATGAAACAAACTTTGATTTAAATGTTCGGTTCATATATTGCAAATATACAATTGTGGGTGTAGAGATCTTTATAATGATAAACCTCCCTCCCCCAAACATAAATATTTATTTTATTATTTTTTCACATTACATTGTTATATCCATTTCACACAGATATATCCATCAAAGAGTCTACATTGTCCGTACTCTTCACAGCCATACTTTATAGTGGGAAGAGATAGAGAGACAATTCATTTTTTTCTTCTTCTTCATCTTTTATTTACTCCCCAACTCTCATAATTTATAGACAATGTTTGTTGTATGATTTGCTCGAAGAACAATTAGACAACAGTACAGGCAACCATTGAGTGGCTGGCTTCCTAGCCGACTGGTTGGCTGATGATGTGTTCCCCTCTTCCCATTTCACTCATAATTTTTTTGTGTAGACAAACAAAGGAATACAACTGTTTTTGGCACATGCTAAATATATATATTTACATATGTAAAAGCCTATGGATGTTGTAAATACATAAATAAATGCCAACAAAAATATGAAAAATGAAATGAAACGTAAATGAGAATACACAAAAAACTACATCTGTTGGATGGATGGATAGAAGGCTGGCTGGTGATGATGTGTAATTGCACTGTTGCAAGATCATGGCGCTGATTCACTGGGTTTTCGATTTATTTTTAGTTTTCTTGATTTTTTTTTTTTTTTTTTTGAATTAAGATAAGAAACATAAAAGTATAAGAGAAAACAACAACTATTTTTTTAGAAGAAATTAACAATTATTCTACAGATGAATAAAAGGTTCTAGTTTCTATTCAATTCCTTAAGAACTTGTGTATAAAAGGCTAATGGATTTCTCCTGATCAAGCAACGAATTGATCATGTTGTGATAGGCGAAAGTCATTCATCCAGTGTTGTAGATATTTGATCGATCCGAGGAGCGAATATCGATTCGGATCATTACCTTGTAGCAGCCAAGGTTGCTCTCGTCTTAATGTAGCAGCATAGGTGCGATCTAATGTAATACGGACACTCGATGTCGAAAAGTTGCAAACACTACAGATAGAAGCCTACTCCGCTCAACTTACTCACTAGTTTGACGAAAGCACTCCTTTTATTGCTCGTTACCATGATACTGGTAGCGTAGTCCGACGTCAAGAAAGTGGACGGAAGAAAACAGCAACATCCGTAGAAATGGTTCGAAAAGTAAAGAAGCGACTTGATCGAAAACCGCGTCGCAGTGGCCGAAAAATGGCTCGTGAACTGAACATATCGCAATATTCCATTCGGCAAATATTGAATGAATGAATATACCGCGCTTTGTGTGCTAGGCTAAGAACTTTCCGAACTGCCCTCGTCTATTGATCATTCACATTTACTTGAAATGCAAAACTTTAGTTATGACCCCCCGCAAAAAAATATGCCAGTGGGAAGTAGTTTTGTTGTTGTTGTATTTACTCAATGTATTCCTATTCATTTTTATATTCCGCAATGGGTCTGTGTTGTGAAAAAACACAAGCACACACACAGCTAATTAGTGCGCAGGCGTATTAAAGAAGACAGCGCAAAAAAAAAAACAAAAGCAAACATTGCGAGATACAACAACATTACTCCTCCGGTAAGTATAAACAAAAATAACTCAGAACATAACACGTAAATTTATCTGCACATTCATAAAAATGTATCTGAGACTTGAGATATATGTGTGTACATAAGGGCGCATGGACAAACAATCATATGGACGAACCACGACAGTTTGGCAGCGGAGGATTTGCAGATATTTTGCAGAAGATTTATTTTTTTGCGCTACTATTAAACGACTATTTGGATTCCCTACTGGGAAATAAAATAAACAATCAATGCAGCAGGAAAAAGGGGGGTGGTGGGAATGCAATAACGTGAGAATTGGATTTCGACAGGGGGTGGATGGTGTAATTTGTTGTTGTGTGAGCCATAAACGAAAACGTAGAATGTATGTTGTAATGGTCATTATGTGTTTTTTTTTTTTTTGTAAGGTAAATTTGTAGTTGCTCTGTACTGAAGCATGAACACATTTGCCCAAAAGGGAGCAATGCAAAGAAAATCTTTACTCTCTGCTGCTTTAGAATTATTGTTCTCACTCTTTTAGTTTTTCATACACTTAGGACTTGGTGTTTTGGAAGCATGCACAAAGAAAAGAAAATCTTTGCTCTCTGTTGATTTAGAATTACACAAATATTGTTCTCGCTATTTTAGACTCGGTGTTTCGGTAATTTTTTTATGGAATCGTAAACAGAATCTCAAGTGCCGTCCTCTATGGTGTTGTTTACTGCTTTTTTTGTGCGGATAAAGCTAATGTTTCTATTGATTGTAGCTCGCTCGCTCGTTCATGTATGTTTTCGCTCAACTCTCTGGATACTTCTCTCTCCATTTGGCTGGCTGGCTGACTGACAGTGTGTTTTCTGTTTTTGCATGCATTCAGCTGACACAACTTTGAGACACACTTCAGCAGTCTAATAATATCATCATCTAAGAAAAGATTGCCGGATGAAATATTAATGGGGAATGTGACATTAGCTTCGAAGCGGCAAAGAAGAACAACGAGACGGGAACGCGATAATACAGAACGTCGTCCACCTCCACCAGCGCAGTGATAGATATTCTTCTATAGTGATGTTATATACAAGATAAACTTAGTGTACGTCTGTCTGTCGGACTGCCTGCCCGTCGGTTTAAATGTTATTTGTCTATCTATGTTTTATTTTTCATCTACGGCCCAGGTGTTGGTGCTGATTCCGGGTGCTTGCTTGTGCGTGAAATCAACTGGATTTATTTTTTATGAACAATAAATAGAGTAATGGCAAAAGTCATTGAAAATGGAAATTAAATTGGCAATTTTTGTGATTGCATGAATTGAAATTGGAAATGCTGCTTCTGCTGCCCACACACTCACGCCAAATTTCTCACACAAAAGGTAAACTTGTATTTCAGCCTCCAACTCTGGCTGCACATATGTGCTCGTTCGATTTCATTATTTAATACCGAAACGAATAGCAGCCACTAAAACGAGCCATTATGTGGAAATGCATCATTGTACAATCCAATCGTTTTTTTTAACCAACGCTAATACGGAGGAGTCAGAAACTTTTCAAAGTCTGCAACACTGAGAGGCAGACAAGAAGTCAGCGCGGAAGGCACAGCGGGGCAAGCAAGCGACTCCAACCAAATTCAATTCAATGTGTGGTGTGGTGTGAACGTAAATTGAAAATGAAAGCTCATAACTTCTAGACAAGAAAACGCAACGCAAAAACGAAACAAACACACGCAGACACACAGCACACAGGAATACCAAAAACAAAAAAGCGGAGTAACAGAAATGTATAACAACACGACAACGACGACGACGACCACGTCAAGGAGTATAGAGTGACGACGAAGGTGCCAAAGTGAAAATTTTTCAATATTTTAACAGAAGCAGCAGAAGCTGAAGCAATTCAATTTGGATTGTCTGGCGGTTGCTTCATCTGCATTAACAAATAATAATAAAACCATAACAACAACAACAAAATAATAATTTGCAAATTTCAAAAACACAATAACCCAAAGTGTTTTCAAAATTATCACAGATTTCATTAGCCAAAGATGAAGTGAAACGGAAAATCGATGCTAAACTCAGTGTAAAAAACTTCTTTTGGTGAATTGAGCCCAAAGGACTTTTTCTTAGTCATATTTTTGTGATATGTGTATATATGGGAATGGATGAGCCAGGCCAGACATGAACGTTTAGAGAGGAGACATACAATTAAAAAAGGAAGTGAAGTGAAATTAAAAAATAAAAACAAAAATTCCCCCAACACACAAATACTTACTTGAAGAGCAACAACAACGAAATAAACTTCTGTATAAGCAAAAAACAAAAAAATAAATTAATTAAGAAAAATCAGAAACTAATCATCAAAAACAAAAAATACAGGAAACCTTGTCGCCTTCAGTTTTATTTCCGCAACAGAAAACATGTCCTGTTACAGTAATGGCAACTGTATCCGGTATTGACGAAGTCGATAACTCGTCAACAGCAGCAATACAGCAGCTGCGGCACCAGCAACCTTGTAACAAAATTTCCTTATCCATAACAACAATAACACTGGAAGGAGGAGCAGGAGTAGAGAACATTAAGACAACATTGTCCTCATCATCACCACCACTGACATCAGTCAACCAGGAGGAGGCGTCATCAACGGATGTTATAGCTGTAGTTCAGGAACAACAAAATCACAATCAACATTGTCAAATTCTTTCATCTTTGTCTAGTGGAAATCCTAAACAACAAAAACCGCAAATGTATGTATGATTATCTTATCTTGTATATATATAGTGTGTGCGTATGGTCTTATAGGACACATACATCTAATAATAGGGATGTCGAACAAAAAAACTACACGCAAATAAAGGAAACATTACAGACTTTATTTAAAAATAAAAAAAAAAATAGAAATGTGGGGGAAAGATTGTGCTGAAACGTTTAAAATTGAAAGTTGTATTTTTTCCACCTGGGATTCTTCAATGATAGAATCTAGGGACAATATAAACCGGTACATATGTTCTTAGCCTAACACAAAATTCACGGTATAAAAATAAAAAAATTAAGTGTTTTGGAAACATTACAAAATGCCCGATTCTGTATTTCAATGCAGAAGTTGTTAAAATTGCATGAGAATGAGTCCTTTATCGGAATCTATGCTAAAACTTTCTCTTGTACCTTTTTCGTAGGAGGGCAGTTCGGAAAGTTCTTTGTACGTAAGTGTTTTAGAAACTTCCATCTCTGTTATGAATACATGTTAAATTTTGTTTCGATCTGGCAACTCCTTCATATACCACGCTTTTTATGATAGGCAAAGAACTTTCCGAACTGCCCTCGTACGAAAAAGGTACAAGAGAAAGTTTCAGCATAGATTCCAATAAAGGACTCATTCTCATGCAATTTTAACAACTTCTGAATTGAAAGACAGAATCGGGCATTTTTGTAATATGTGAAAATAGCTAAGGACTCAAAAAACTAAGATATATTTAATTCGGGGGGATGAAGGAATGCAATAGATGTATTCACTGATAACCTGTACCTCCCTTTACAAATAACGAAAATCTATCCCGTTATTTAATTAGGAGGGATGAAGGAACGCAATATATTTATTCACTGATAACCTGTACCTCCCTTTGTAAATAACGAAAATCTATCCCGTTATTTATTAGGCATGACGAGCATGTACTGCCTCGACAACATTATGTTATGTCGATGGATAGATATAATCAGCCCTATTCCAGAATTCGCTATAGAGAAATTTCGCTTGTGAAAAATGGTTTCGCTTTCACATTCTCTCCTAGTAGAGACGACTGGAACCGGAGTAATCCTTTCCTTTCTATACAGACGGATCCAAGATGAAAGAAGGTACAGGGGCTGGCGTCTATTGTGAAAGGCTAGGCCTTGAGTTTACCTACAAGCCTAGCAACTGTAGTGTTTCCATGCTGAAATCTTCGCAATTTGGAAGTCACGGAATGGATACAAAATGTGGATGCAGATATCGTTGAACCGGCGACTATCTTTGTGGATATTCAAGCGCCTCTTAAATCCAACAAATCTGAGGCCTTTTTCAAGTGTAGACCATTTTGGAAGGACTTACATACAGCTATCGGCTGTGTTACTGATTACTATAGACTCTGCGTTGACGAGGAGGAGACGGAGACAATTGAGCATCTCCTGTATCGCTGCCCAGTCCTGGCCTACAGACGGCACAGACTAATGGGTGCTCACTTTCCACCGTGTCTTAGTTTCTTCTCAACAACGGAACCTGCTCTAATCTATAGAATCATTAGAAACCTAAAGTGGTTGGGAAAGTGCAACCTTGGCACGTAATATATTTTCTGTCCGCACGAACAAATTTACGGTGAATAGATGTCCAGAATAAGACTGAATATTCGTCTATTCAGACCTCGGTGTCCTGAATGTTTTTCAACTCTGTGTCTTTTACATTTTGTTGCGTGTAAACATTTTTTGATTAATTGTTAAACAAAGGCCACGACGCTCCATTCCCAACTCCACTTCCTGCGACGACCGAAAAATGTGAATAGCGGGTGACCAGGGTTGTAGAGAGGGTTGCCACTTTAGTTGTCACATATTAGTGTTAGTGGAGTACGGCTTTAAAGCCGTTTAAATTTTTGGAAGGAAATGGTCAAGGATGGGCGGACAAAGTGGAGGATCAATTTTCATGTTGTGTTTGTTTTTGTTTTGTTTTTCAATCAAAATTTATTAAGTGTTTATTCCCTAGGGTTGATGATGGCAGGGTTAAAAACCTCCCCTGAATGAAGCTCACTCCAGAACTAGTGTATGGCGCCAAAATTAAACTAATGTCTTCCAGACATTACAAAATTAATAACGTGCAATAACAGCGAAGCACTGTGCAATAGACATTAGGGTAAAATAGCTTAAAATGGAATATGACATTTTTTTTGTAATCTATCGGATATTGTACCGACACTTATTTTCAGCTATAACGCTAGGAATCTGCCATGGTGCTTACCACACTATTTCTTTAAAGTTAGTAATTTTTTTAGAGTAAAGACAATAGAATAAGGTTCGCCGAGAACCTTTCTCAACAGCTAATCCAGCTATAAACTGACAAGTCCACATCAATGCCTTACAATAGGCTAACCATTTGAGAGAAGATATAAAGAATGTAAAAAATTTGGTTATTTTATCCATGTCAGAATTCTAACAAAGATTAGGATCTTCTTGGGGTCTGTTCCAGAGAATTTCATATTTGCCAAACTTTCGTTGTCTTCAGCTACTTAGCAATGGACACCTACAGAATATATGTTCAATTGTTTCCAGCTCTTCCTTCCTTATATAGACGGCAATAATCCACTCCATTAATGTCACATTTGGAAACGAGAGATCTAATCCTGCAGGGACCTGTTATGATCCCCACAACTCTTACCTATAGAGTTCTTGCAAGAGTGATATTAGACCTTTCTTAGTGTGTTCCTCAACATTCCTTTTCCACGTTAATTTAAGGTGAAGGAAGAAAGAATTAAAGTAAAGGCAGGTTAAAGTTTGGTCCTTCAATTCTTTTAAATAAAAAATCTTAACACTTAGAAAAATATTGCAATCGACATATCTAACCACAAAGTCCTACTTTGGCTCATATATAACTTTGTTCAAAAATCCATACATCTATATCCTTCTTGCAGGGAAATCGAAGAAGAGGAAATGTTAGATGATGTTACATTTCCCGTAGATGAAATACCCGAACCCATTAAAGTATTGGATGATATTATTTCGGAATTTGAAGACAATATTTCATTGAGGCCACAATTGCAAAATAGTGGTGAAAATCAATCAGAGGACGATGGTTATATGAGTCTCAGTCGCAAAAAGTAATTGAAATTATTTAATTTCCCTTTTTTTAATAATAATTTGTTAATTCTTATCTCCCCCGCACATCATTCTTCTAGCATGAAGGAAAAACGTGATTCTGAAGAAATGTCCCAAACCAGCTCTAGCTGTGCTCCCGTTGTTACACCCAATGAAAGTTTTGATGCTGTCGATTTGGTACGCTTTGAAAGTAATGGCAATTGTCACAGCGGTGATCGATTGGAATCGAAAACTAATTCGACCACAACGACAACATCCACATCGACAAATGCCAATAGTACAGATCCCAATAATTTGGAACAAACCACTTTGGTAAGTAGTCACTCAAATGTGTTGCGTCTAAACTCTAAGGTTCTACCGTAACTGTTTTTTGTTTAGCCCAAGGCCCGTACCACAACAGCAGCTGCAGCCAACAATTCCAATTATTCAAGTCTTCCATGTTGTGGCCAACGTACTGGCAATAATTTAAATGACAGCAAGGTGCGTGTGGGCAGTTGCAATGGTGAAAGGAATGCTTTGGGCATTGACATCAGTGCCGTACACAAAGCTGTTTTACGGGGTAGCGTTGCAAAGCTACAAGGTGAGGAAGTGAGAAAAAAATAAATAAAAAAATTAAAAATGATGTTCTTTCTTTTTAGAACCAATGTTAAATGAACATCCCGTTACCATATATCCCGGCCCGAAGGATGGTCCTGTCAGTGGTCGCAGTAATCGTCCTAGGCGACTACAGTCGTCTGTTGAAAAACACAAAGAGGTCTGTCATATTCTAAATCCCGGTTCTGCCTCAATTTCTTGTTCTTCATCATCCTCATCTCCGGCCAGTACGGGTACTGGCACAAATTCGGATAATGCCAAAACAAATTCCTCTTCCTCCAACAACACCTTAGATAAATATTCCAATAAGAATAACTCGGACGAGGATGATGATATATCTGAGGATTCGCTTGAAGATCCTTCGGGTATAACAGTTTCCTCAGAATCGACATTGCTTACACCACGAGGCATAGCCTGGGAAATACATTTTAAGGATTTCAAAAAGAAAACCAAACAACAAAATCAGGGTGCAAAGGTGGGTGCAAATAATAAAAAGAATCGTTTTGCTTTAATAACCACATTATTCTTTCTGCAGTCAAAATCAGGAAATTCCAAAGGCAGCTACAACCATCCTCCTGTGCGCCATTCTCCCACAACTCCTCAAAATCATCTACACATTCAAGAGGACGAATTTCGCAGTTTCGAAGAGAGTCCTGAAATCCAAAACTCGTGTGTCTATCGCCATTCGAATAGTATGCTGGGCAAGGGAACCTTTATAATACGTCGTGGTTCCATTAAAAAACCACCCCGTGCCATGGATATATTTTCCAATTATGATGAGCCTGTAAAACATGGTCTTAGCGAAAGCGAACCTGATATGGATTCCGAATCGGAACGTACGCCACATTATAAACCACAGGATGCCAGAGATGCTGAATGTAAAACTTGTGATACCAAAGATGCCAATACTCGACATAGCTTTGAGATAGGAAAACCCATTACTTCGCCCAGAGATCGGTTATCCTTGAATTTGGAACCGATCAGGCCAGCAATTAGTTCTATAAGAAAAGATTTGTCACCCATACAGCTTTTGAATAAGACCTCCAGTTTTGAAGGTAAATATCCTGCTTTGAAAATTTTAAAAACGACTTCCATCACATTTTCTCATCTTAGCATCCAAAAAGGGAAGTTTAATTTCGTTGGAGGCCCGCTGTAGTCAGGAATCCATAAATGCAGCCCGTACACCTTGTCATGAGGAAGCAGTAGGTGCTTACGACATGAAAGGTTTAGAATCTCCAGGTTTATTTGTATATAAACAAGCCACAAATGGACCCATTAAAAGTTCTGAATTTAATGGTAAGTCCCCAAGAGGAAATAGGTCTATTGTTGAATATGAATATTAATTTATCTACCCCCAGAAATACGCTCAACATCGACCACACCACATACTGATCTCGCCCCCACGCTGGAAGAGGATGAAGAGCAATTGAGCGACTTGAGTTTCGGCTGTGTACCATTGAAACAGATTGAGGCTAGCAGAGGAGCAGTTCATTTGCGCAATGACATGGCTGTGAGTAAAATGACTGAACAACCCCTACATAAACGTCCCCTGGAGTTTCGTCCCGGCGTACATAAATCTGAGAGTGCGAAAGAAATGCTACTTTCACAAAATACCTTTGGTCCCTTGCCTCCATCTCCTCCGTCATCTAATCCCGATATGTTTGTAAGTTTCCCAATTTGCTTTGCCAATCACAACATTTGTGATAATTACTATTTATGTGCCCGCAGGATTACAACGATTTGCCTTTACCACCTTCGCCATCGGATGACACATCTGTGGGCGAGGATGACATAAAGCCCCCAGTGAAATCTTATGTCCAGACATCTGCCGAAATTCATACTCATTCCGTGTCACGTGACAGAGAAGAGAAACGCCATCCGCGCACCAAAGAACGCGAGAAGCCCATTGGACGTCCTGTCCATCGCCATATGTCCGATGAGCTGCCTTTACCACCGCCACCACCCGCAGCGTTTGAGAATATGGCGGCACCCGTGGTGCCACCGCATCGAGCCGGCCATTCTATTAATACCATGAAATCGTGGTCCATAGATTCCAATTATAAGAGGAAATCTCCAAGGATGATGGGTGGTTATGGTAGTGGTGTAACAACGCCCACAAGTTCACATGGACCATCGTATGACGGTAGCAGTGGTAGTGGCTATGGTACAAGGCGTTATGTTTCGTATGGCACCAAACGTAGTTCTAAGCAATCGCCAAGAGAAGAACATCGCCTGCAGACATCGTGTAGTCTTCCCGAGACGCCAATCTTTGCCAGAGGGTATGTTTGTGTTATGGTGTGGTTTCTATATTTATGTGTAATTTGAGTATTTATTTATATAGATGCGATATACCACGAACACCTTATCGTCGCCAAACCGAAAACGCACCCAGTGGGTCTAGAACGGCCCCTAGGTCTAGTACTTCAAACAACATTAATTTAGGTAGCACTATGGCTGGTATGTCCGGTGGCAATACATTCGGTGGGGCCATGTGCCGCCAGCGCTCGATAAATCATGCTTTAGCTTCCAATGAAATGTTACGACTAGCCGGTGCTCCGCAACGTGGTTGGTATCCCAAACAAAGATCAATGCGACCCGCTTCAACAGAAAACATAGATCGTATATCAACAATGCGAATATGGGATGGTACGCCGGCTATGCCGGGTACAGGTCCGGCCCGCAAACCGCTAACATTGCCACCAAATTTAACGCCATCATTTCTAAATAAATCACCCAGGGAAGCATTACGTCGTGTCACCAGTCTGCTGATAACCAAAAAGAGTGAGTGTGGAGGATACGGCAAAAGAGAGATGGGTTTTTAATTCACATTTTTTTTCTATTATAGAAAATCCTAAGGATAAGAAAAATAGATCAGCTTATACTGCTGATCAGTGTCTGGAAGCTAGCTATTATCATGATATTGACAGAAGTAAGTTTTTGTTAAACCCATACAAATCTATATATCAAACGTGGTTTTGTTTGTGTGTGCGTGTTTTCAGATGCTTGCTCTACAATCCCTAATCCAAAGGAGCTGAAACAACGAGGACAAAGCAATACAACGGAAAAACCTAAAAAGAAGGGTATTTTCAAAACACTTTGGAAGCGTACGAAACATTTTTCACTGGATCAATAAGGCGGCATTTGTTTAGCGTGATTGCCCACTTGTACGAAGAACTAGCGAGAAAATCCATTCAGGTAGTCCCACTTGATTTTATATAAAACCGTCAAGAAGTAGAATTTACAGCAGTTTCCAATTTAAAGTTCTTATGAGAAAAAGTTGAAGTGATATATCGATGCGAAGCTGAGTTAAATTCGAATAGCATCCATGTAAACTGGAACCAGAAGTGCTTACAACCCCCCAAAAGTGGGGATGGTCACATTCCGTACAAGCTGGGTAAAATAACAGACAACAAATGCCTAGTTGAATAATATGATTTTATTTGAAATGCCCTCCAAAGAATATTACAAAGGAAATTCTGCGAATCTTCATTGAGAAGAACAAAAAAAAATACATGAAATAAGTTCCCCTTTCACACCAAACAACCTCATCCTCTTCTAGGCGTTATTAGTACAGCACCTATGAAATATCCCTGTTGTCATTACATTTACTTACATACACATATATACTTGAGAAGCATAATTACATACATATAAATATATGAATAGAAAGAAAAGGTAATTTTTGATAAGAAAAAAATCTTAAATATTATTATTATAAACAAAAACAAAACTAAAAACCAACAAGAATATGAGAAATATTTCAATATTATCTAAATATGCACAAAGGCGGGAATCTCAAAAAGACTGAAATTATTGCAATTTGTCAAAAACCATTTTATTTAATTATTATACAAATTACCACTTCTAATTACAACAACAACTAACTACTACTAATGCAACAAATACAGTTTCAATTTTTATCGAGACTTACAATCTACTTAAATGTGTAAACGTAATGAATCTATGGTATCAAAAAAAAAAAAAATTAACCAAAATCTATCACAAAAAATATAGCATCTTCACTACCGAAAAAACTCCTCTCCTTATACAATTTAAGAATCACCTTTAAAGGAGTTGAACAGATCAATTTCTTTCCCTGAGACATGATATTGAAAGAATAAAAAATGCTCTATTTCAACTCTTTCGAAAATTAGTATATTTCGAGATTATTGATTACACATTTTCCCAAGTATATGGGAGATTATTAAAATCATGTCCCGCATTGATGTACATACATACCACTGTCATAAATGTCAATCAAAAATGACTATGTTTTACATCTATCACTTAACTATTTTCAAAATCTATCTGGATTACTGTTACACACAACACATGTATACAATGAATAAGAAGAAGACACTTGCAACCATAAATTTAAAAAAAAAAGAAAAACCAAAATCAAGAAACATTTTGTTTCTCATTAATTATGCCATAAAAGAAAGGAAAATAAAGTTGAAAGAAAATATAGTAAAGTTATCGGATAATTGGTTATAGATGGTGTCACAAAATGAGAAAGGAATCCATGGTCCGGTCCATCCACATAATTTCGTGGATATTTTATTTATGGACACTATGATTAGTACTTTACATAAGGAAAAATGCAGTTAACAAGAGAATTTGGGTTTTGTTAGTTGTATGAAATTGAATGTCAGTTTAATAATGAAATTAATAATAATAAAAAATAAAAAAAAAAAACGATTTTAAGTAAGAATGAGAACGATATAAATAACTTAAATAGATTTTAAAGTAATTTAATAATTATAGAAACATATAAGGATAACGAGTTGACTTTTTACTTTACTCAATGGTTATTTGGAATGGAGTTTTGTGTTTGTGTGTATTTTGCCAAAAATTACTTTAATTGAAATAGTATACTTATCAATTCAAAATATGGAGGAGAAAATATGTGGGAAAAGGTTGATTGCTCCTCTATTTTAAAAAAAAGAATCAACAACGAGTTCAAATGATGCAATAGATGCCCAATACATGCCCTCAAAAGATTACGAAAAAGGTCTAGACATTTCTCTCGGAAACTTTCCGGTTCATTGTGATTTTTAAGAACGCCTACAAATGATCATAATTCTTTGAATGATAGTTTCTTATGACACCAAAAGTAATTCTAAGTAATCAACGTCAGTATAACGTGATCAGCTGACATCTTTTAGAGAGGTACCTAACACTAATCCAATAACATTATGGTAGTGGTGCAACAACGCTCACAAATTCATACGATCCTTCATGTGATGTAAAATTGGCTTTCAGCCTTATTCTGGACATCAATTCACCGTGAATTTATTCGCTCTTCCATTTAAAGTTATTCTGAACCAAAACTCGCAGCGAATTTTTCGCTTTTTCACTTTCCGCTTATTATGAATGAAGTTTGAAAGCGAAAAATCCATTTTGGGGAAAAATTATTTATTCTGGATTACAGGAATGGGAGAATGTGATGATATTTTGTCCGAAATTTTTCGCTAACAAAATTAAAGGGAACTGAAAAATATAAGTATTGAATATTTTTATTAACAATATCTGGATGTCAATTCCACGTGAATTTACTCGCTCTTCCCTACAAATTATAAAAGAATAATAATAAATATGTTTTTCTTTCAAAATTTATCGTGTGCATAATTTAAAGGACAATCTAAAGGAGGATGAGCATATCATAAAATAAGTGACCACTTTAAGAATTTACGGAGATCAAATATCGAAATTAAATAAAATGGCACACAATTATGTAGCGAAATAATAAACTGCGAATTAATTTAATTTAATGTCATATTCAATTAAATTACAAAATGGCTACACGAATCTTGGTGGTTGAGACCATTTTTGAAAATTCGAATCCTCTTCTCGCATTTTTCATTCTCCCTATTCATCCAGAATATGTCAAGAATGTGAAAGCGAAAATTTTTTTCACAAGCGAGATCTTTCCCTAGGGAATATCCGGAATAAAGTTAAAGGACCTAAAAGTTCAGGACCTAATTGTATTACAATTTTCATAGTCAACCATGCGCTCATCAGGATAGTTATTAAGACGTGGAAAATATCCGAACATTTCGCTCAAAAGCTTTTCAATTACATTGTGATAAAGGAAACCTCTATGAAAAGGAGAGGTATGCTAGTTTGAGAGGTATGCTAGGATGCCGAATGCAACTCCATTCGTTAAATCTTATTATATTGGGTTGATCCTGGTAGCTATATATTTAATCTTGCAGTGGACACCATCCCAGATAACTCAGAGATTAAATATGTAGCCATTTACAACCAGTTCTTTTATAATAGACTTCATGATATATGTTTAACCGACTTAACGATCAGTAGCTTAACCCTTTCAGTGTCAAATAAATTTTTTGTCGGAATATAAATCTAAAATTTTGTACTTAAAATTATATAAAGGCATAGAGTTTGGAAAAAAATTAATTTTCATTTTAACCCTCGGACAGTTTCGTCTGTTTTTCAGCAAAAACACAACCATCAATGTTAACGGTACATAGGATACCCGAAAAATCGCAAAGAAAGAGAGAATTTTTAAATGTCGAATATATTCGACAAAAACACTGAAAGGGTTAAACGGTGACTATGTGCTAGTTCCCAATTAAGTCATATAAAATACATAGTGGCAATTGCTGATTTATTTTCCCACAAATATCTAATCCCAATACTTTCAAATGCCTTAGTATACATATTTGGTGAAAATTTCGATAAAACACAATTTCCAAGCATTGACCATTGAGCTTTATTGTGAATTTATATACTTATATAGATGCAAAGCTATAACTTCAGTTTTTATTGAATATATTATGAATTTATAAAGATAATATGAACTGAAAATCATGCATGAAATTATTTTGCAACTTTTTCGAACTACTCTAAATTAGTATTTTAATATTTTGTTAATTAAATGTGAGGCACATTTGCTTTTTAATAAAATATTAAAATACTAATTTTAAATGAAATAAACATATTGTTTACGAGTGGTTACGGCCAAAGCCATAAGGAGAATATTACCAACATTAAGGAAAATATTAACAACTTTATATTAACAACATTGCGAAAAAACATCATGTTGGGGCAAACTAATAATGCCCCGACAAAAATTTCGTAATATTTTACTTTTTGTTATTATATTTAAAATCCATTTTTTTGTAATATACGATGTTTGTTTTACAACTAAAAATACGTATTTACATGCATTTACGACATGCATATACATTTATATATGAAAATACATACATACATATATGATGAAGGAAGTTCAGGTAATAAAACGTAGTTGTTTCAAAAACATCCTCTTTCAAGAATAAAAAAACATAAATTTTATGTAAAAAAATCAACTAAGATTCATGGCACATGTTTTGAAAAGTCTAAAATCTAAAAATATAAATTTATAACACTTATATAAAGGTCTGAGGCTTTTCACTGCGTGTGTTACCAAAATGCCAATATTAATTGCTTTAATTAATAAAACAAAAAATAAAAGTAACAAAAACTAGTCGTTGATATAAACTTACAACAAATTGTATTTATTTGTGAAACTCCCAAAAAAGTAAACATATTATTATAAAAATAAATAAAAAAATTAATAGATTTTTCACCAAAAAATGTAATACAACAAAAAGATCTAATAACATGAAGAAGAAGCATACCTCAGTAAGAGACGATGATAATAAAGTAAAATGCATTTATTACTTAATAAAATACAAGCAAATAATAATAATTAATTGAAAGCAGTTGAATTATAAATATGTATTTATTTAAAATGAAATTAGTAAAAAACCAAAAAAACCTGAAAATCGAATACCCACAACATAATGGGTTAGTTGTCTCTTGGCTGATGTTATTTACAAATATACAAAATGTTCCCGAAATGAACTAGATTGCTGATAAGACCTTCCCAATGGCGTCTCTATGCCACCACCACCACAAAAGGCTTTCTCAAAACAATTACAATATGAAAATTATTTGTAAATTAGTTGAAATGGCTGTGTGTCAATATTACCTATTAACGATTTTCAATGGTCAGTCTGATAAATGGGTAAAAATTATTTTGGAGGCTTTCAACTTTTTACATTTTTATTGAAGTCTAAAATCAAAGAATTTTTTTCGATTCAAAACATTCGGGCATGTTCTGGCATTCACTTCAACGGTAGAAGTGTATCGAACACACGTCGAGCTGTTCTGTAACACATTTTTCACCCGTTTGAAGTGAATTCTTTTCTCTTACATTTTCATAGTGACAGTCGGCTGTATTAGTGTTTTCCTATATAAAAGAAAATCTTTTTTTGAAATAAAAAATACACATGATGTTATTATTGCTTATAATTTATTGAAAATCACAAAATTAACATTAAACGCCATTAGAAAACATTTTCAAAATGGATATTAAGGTTTGTGTTGCATTTTCTTCAACTGAATTTCTCGCTTGACACAAACAGCTGATTGGAAGTAAGGCCGAAGAAGATAGGGTTACCAAATGTTCCCCTTAAATCAGTCGACAAATTAATTTTTGTCGCAGTTCGAAATTTCAATTCACGTGAGAAGCAGAACAGGAGTTAACTTCTGAGGTGAAGTGTAAAGAACACACGGTGAGTTCCAGAACATACCTGTAAGGTTTGTGTTGCATTTTCTTCAACTGGATTACTCGCTTGACACAAACAGCTGATTTGAAGCAAGGCCGAAGAAGATAGGGTTACCAAATGTTCCCCTTAAATCAGTCGGAAATGAATGATATTACAGAGTCTTTCATACATATATTTTATGTTACGAATTAACGAAATTCCTAAAAAATGACTGATACTTTTTATGCAAATACTATTTATGAAAAGTACCATGTTGACGTTTATTTTTGTCGTAGTTCGAAATTTCAACTATTATTTCTAATATTCTTTCTAATACTGTTTAAAATTTCTTTAAAAAATCTATGCCTTAAGTCCTAATATTCTTTAAAAATTTTTTACAAAATCTATGCCTTAAGACCTTCTAATATTCTTTAATTTTTTTAAATCTACGCCTTAAGGCCTCAAGCATGAGTGCTTTTGTGCAATGACCCATGTATTGGCAATCCTCAAGGTACTGAGAATAGTTTTCATCAAAATCACCTCTTCATTGTGGGACATTATGTATATTTGTCATTAAATTTATTTTCCAATTTAGTTTGCACTACCAAAATTCTTAATCCTCACTTGAAAAACAAACAAACAACAATGTTAAAAGAAAATACATTTAAGAAAAACAATACACAATTTTTAAAGGGTAACTATTTAATAACAAAAGAAAAATAAATCTACAATTACACACGTACACAATCTACATCAATCACCTCTTTAATGTGTAGAATACACACCTTCAAACTGAAAAATATTAAAAAAATACAACACCTTTCACTTAAAATTTTATATTTAAGATACTATGAAAACCCAGAGAAAAACCAACTTGAGGAATTTATTTATTACTTAAAACAGTATTGCGAAATTTTTTTAAATAATGCTCAGTTTTTTTGTAAGTCTATATAAAAAAAACACACACATAAATTGAACTATTAATGTTTAATAAAAACACAAAATAATGAGAATATAAATAAATCAACTGAACAAAAGAGGATGATAACTAGTGCCACCTTAGCAAAAACAAAAACACACAAAAAATATTGATTAAAAGTTAAGTTTAACTTTTTAAAATTATTAGTATTATTAATGCAACAAGAATAACAAAAAATAAAATAAACAACATATTTATTTAAAGCATTATATTTTTAAATAAACGAAATGCAATTATAATAACCACTATTTAACGAAGTATAAAAGTCCATAAAAAATTGAGATTTTAGTTTTACAAAGTTGAAAAAAATTGTGGCACTTCAAACTATACGAACAAAAACTTTCTTTGAATTAAAACAAATTAAATTGGATATGGTATTCCTTATATTTACAAGCATTACTTTGTTCAAATATAAAAAAAGTTGTTAGTTTCTTGGGGTATAGTTTGGATGACCGCATAACAAACGAATCTGATAAAAATGAAATATTTTGTTAGTCTTGTATGTTATTACTTGTCATGCAACCAAAATTGTAGAATTTTCTTTTTTTAAAGAAACAATTTACACATTGATCCCTTTTCAAGATCAATCAATATTAACAGGAAAAACACTCACACACACAATATATATTGATAATTTCATAATTGATAAACAATTATTAACAATATATAATATTATGAAATTAAAAAACAACCAAAAATATAATTCCCAAGAAAAATCATGAAAATAAATACAACTCTTATAGAATTCTTTACGTCTTTTTAATTTGTTTTTTTTTATTAAGATTTTGATCTAGAAAAATAATATTTAATCATTATTACTTACAAATAATAATTTTGCCAAAAACAAAAAAAAAGGTATATATAAAATAAAAAAATGGGGAGGGGGTTAAAAATATTTTTTGCAGCCATGATTTGAAGCTCATCTAAAATATCAGTGGGTGAGAGAGTAGTACAACAAAAAAGAAAAATTATTTAAAAACAAAAGAAAAAACAGTAATTTTCTTTATGGTCGACAGGCGGACCATGATCATAATTGGCAAAATCCTAGAAAAATCAAAGCACAACAAACAATTTTCGTGATAGTTTTGCAAAACCAAAAACACACAACTTATGAGGAAGAGTGAGAGAGAGCCAGCCAGTTCAATGTCCTTGTGTTAAATATTTGGTGTTCAATTTCGTTTTTTCTTCTTTTACAGGATCTCAGCATTTTGTTGGATGGGGGATTTCGGATTCGTTCATTGTGTTTCACTGTTCCATGGTATTTGCTGACCTCAACAATTTAGGCTACATAACTGTATTCATCGCCTGAATTGGGTGTACGCTCTATATACTGTTTATCAATCAATGATTCAATACATTTCTTTATAATTGTGATGCTGGGTGTAAAACTAACATTGGATTGAGATAAAATCTGAAACAAAAACAACAACAAAATGGGAGATAAGTTTAAACTATAAAAATAAAGTAAAGTCTGTACAAACCTCTTGTATCAAAGCATTGTGCTTAAGAACTTTACGAGATTTCATAATGCGTACTATGGCAGCCTGAAGATACAGTTTACGATCTTCGTCCACAGCATTGATTGTGTGTTCGACCTACAAAAACAGATAAAATCCAAGTAAATAAAAATATGCAACTAATCGCTATACAGCAATAATTACCTCCTGTGGTGTTTCTTTTTGCAATGCCGATGTTATCTTAAACTTGGTACGCTTATTTGTATAGTCTAAATTCAATTCGATTTTTGTATTGTCTTCGAGATTTTCACTGCTGGCCACTAAGATTTTCGATTCCAATAGTGACTGCATATGTTTCTGGAAGGTTTCGGCATTCAGCTGCAATGTGGTTTGTATTTCTTTGCAGGTCATCGAATCACAGGACTCAAATAGTAATAGCATTGCCATTTGATACGTTTGCATGGTCACAATATACGTTTTTTTTAAGTAACCTAGTTTAAGTTCGCCATGGCACATATGATGCAACCAGGTAAGTTTACGTCCACTAAAGGAATTATGATAGAATTTTTCAAACTGATGAAGGACAGGAGAAAAATTCAAAATTATTTGTGTTGTGATACAGAATATATATATATATATATATATATATATAAACATTTTAAATTACCGATCGTATGGCCTTTTCGAACTCCTGGGGAACTGCAAATGGTATAACAACCTGTGTTGGACCCAATGGCCATGCGCCGGCTTGCAAGACTTTTATGGATAAATTTATACCTAAAAAATAGATAACAAAAATGATTTTAATAAATTTTACACAGGATTATAACTGATATTAAAAAATAAACAATAATAATCATTGAATTTCCAAACTGACATCAACTTACCTAAATCAATATTTTCCTGTTTTAAATAATTATTAAACTTATTATTTAAGTCCGCTGATAGGGAGATATCGGTAAACATGCGATGCAGTTTGTTTGTAAATTCGTATCCACAGGCTTGCTGAAATACCACAAAAAAATATTAACACACATTAAAAAGAGAAGTCCCATAACATAAACACCACTATCTCATATCTTCACCTTTAAACGATTTATCATTGCTTCTTCAGCATCCATACTTTGCGATTGTTCGTGTATCAAACGTTTTGCCAATAGGCGACTATAGAATTTCTGATACACATCCTTATCTTCAATATATTTGAAGATGGTAATATTATTGGTGAGTTTTTGATCAATTTCAGCTTCTGATGTTTTAGATTTTTTGAGCAGAGTATCACAGTACTTGGCCACATATTCGGCACTGCGGCAAGGTTGTTTATCGCTTGGTCGACGATTTATAACACTGGCACATGCCTTATCCAATGCACTCAAGAACAACGGATCATTTTCGAAGACCTCATCGATTAGCTGCGTATATTTTTGATGCACCTTTAGCATATCCTCGACAAATTGTATGTGTATGTTTTCGCCTTTCAGCGTTGAAATGGTTTCGAGGCCTTCATTTTTGATGTGATCCAAAAAGGTTTGTATCAAGCGACCCTTAAGATTATCCGGTATGGGTTTGAGAATTATATACAAATTACGTAGATCTTTGCGATTTTCCTGGGAGACCATTTGTTTGCATTCCGAATACAAGAAATCCAATCGTTCGTTAATGAATTTCTCTTCACATTGTTTAATGAGCTTGGGTATGGAGCTGTAACACGTAAAAACATTTCATAAATATATTTTTGCGGTGTTCAGTGATTTTACTACATACCTTGCATGTAATAACTTCTGGGCCCTTTTATTTTCATCATCGAGTATTTTAATAACCTCCTCGATGTATTGACTTACTGTACACCTTTGCAGCAGAGCTGTGGCCTCCGTGGCATAAAATTCCCCACTGGCCAGCAATAAAGGACATTCGAACAACCATTGATAGATTTTTAGGGAACCAGTCTTATTGTAGTGCTGCACTTCAACAAAACTATGCATTACCCCGCTAATGATTTTCACACGTTCATCATCTAGGCCAGGGTTGCCCATGCGATCGGCCTTGATGCCCTCCAAAATGTGTTTGACCAAGTCATAATTGAGTGGTTCAATCATTTTGGTGCGCCATATATCCAGGCCCAATTCACCAATTTCCATTTGTTCCATTGTCTCCGTTGTTAGATTGCCGTAGACCACATCGGCATCTGATATTTTTTGTTTCTTGATATGCTGGAGATTTAGATAGGAGTATAAACTATGCAAATCCTTGATGCCTTTACTGTATTCCGACCAGGCATCGAAGTAGCGTTTTAGCAGATCCGGCTGTTCCGTTCCCGTGGCATCGGCGCCAGGTGGATTCACCCGTGTAGCCATCATATTTTCGACATGGGCTTTTAGAAATTGCTTTGTCTCTTCATACAACTGATCGGCAAATGGTTCCGGGTGGGCCACACACAAATTGTAAACATTTCTGAAAAGACACAAATGGGTTAATATATATTTTTGTTTAAAGAAACACGCACACAACAGGAAACATAAACAGTTTGATATAGATACACTTCGAGACGGCGGAAGTTTTGGAAAAAAACAAATGCACAGCAATGCTCAGTGGTGATTATTCTCTTTTTGGCTTAACAAAGAGAAAGTATTATTATGATTATGCTAAAAAAATTGAAGGTCGTCGCTGCACTTGATCTTGAGGGAAGATGTCTGGGGCCACACTTGTATTTCAAAACTAGCACAATCAATCAAACTGTTCTGCTTCCCATAGCCTCAGATGAATACTCACGTAAAACTTGTATTCCAAACATTTCTCTCCACCTTGTCCAATTTGATAACAGCCTCGGCCGTGCTCTTCAAATCTGTCCAGATTTCATTGAAATCGACTTTCTTAGGTTTTAAGGACATTTTGCGTATCTGTGTCCTGTTGTGTTAAAGAAAAAGTGTGTAGTGTTCTTTGTTAAATTGATTGAATAATTTCAATACGCACTAGATGCAGTAATAAAAAACAAAAAAATTAAAGCAATCGCTACACAAAAAAACACAAATTCACTTCGAACAACGACACCGACATAGAACAGCAGCCCGCATAATTATGAGAAATTAGTATAGCTTTGAAATTGGCATTACCTTTATTGGTTAATTGTTTAAAATATTATTTAAGATTTGTTGTACTAAACAAAATCTAAATTAGTTGTATTTTACTGTTTTGTCAAATCTTTTTATTAACAAATTCATCAAAATCATTGCCAACTAGTGGTGGCAAATGGACGATTATTTTCAATAAAAATCGATAATTTGTAATAAAATAATTTCGATAAAAATTTTATTGCCTATCAAAGAAGAGGAAAATATAAAGAAAAATAAAAAAATATATTTATTTCTTAAAATAAATGTAATTTATCTAAATAATTAATAAAATAAATATATAACAAAAATATAAATTGTCAAAATAGTTCAAAATTAAAACATTTGTAACATTTCTCAAAAAATCACATAGTGGGACACACTTATCATTGTTATAATCTTTGTTATCGTTGCTATCGATATATTTCCATCTCTGGCAAAACAATTTAGTTGTCAAATTCAGCCATAACGTCTGCAGGTCTCCATTAATAGAAACATAAATATCTATTGTTTTATAAGGAGTAATTAAAAATTTTACCATAAAATCAAGTTCAAGCGCAACGGAGAAACACCTAATTTCCAAAATTGTTATTATTTGTCGTGTTTTAATGCGGCTGTAATATCGTGTTAAAAAGAGAAATATATTGTCATATTTGTTTTGTAAGAAAAAAAAGGTTGTTGTCATAGATAAAGGAACGCCACAATGGAATTCTGGAATTCGGTTACTAAAATTGAATGAATTCAAATTTGAATAAGGCCAACATTTATTATCCACTACATTCTCGGTAACAAAATGGTAAGTCAAGCTATTGTTTTATAAACCTATTTATGAATTTTTTAATTATTTTTTTTTTATAAATTTACAGAGTGTTCTATGAAATATGTCAAAAACCTTAAAAACGTCATATGACATCAACCGGAAAGAGGAACTACATCATCATGATAAATAAATCATAATACAAAATCTTTTTTTTACATTAATGTTTTGTGGGACCCAAATGGTAAGTCAAACATATCTCTATAAGTAAATATTATAAAATTTAATTTCACATATATATACTATATGAAGGAATCCAGTATCAATGTATGGCGTGATACTGGATTCCTTCATAAATTTTAACCAAAGCCTAATAGTTTAACAAATGACTTGTGTTGAGTTTGATTTAAATCGATACCGATGGCCATTAGCTGTCGTTTTTAATCAAAAGTCATAAATATGAAGATTAATAAAAATAGGGTGAGATTTAGATAAATCGTCCATTTTTCGCTTCAATATCCCATCTTAATTAATTGTGAGATCTTACAATTTTTAAGAGAAACTAGTATAAACAGTATTTTGTTATCCCTTTAGAACATAGACAAATTATAAAAGTCTTTGGGTCAGAAAGGATTATTAGTCCATCCGTTTTCGTGGATATGGTTCACCAAAGTCCCGTCCGTCTGGTATATAGAGTGTCAAGTTAAAAAGATGTTCAGATTTATATAGAGCTCTCACAAATGTTTTACAAACGCCATCCACGTCTGGTCGATTGACTACTAATTTTGCATATAATACCTTAGGCTAAACGTTGTAGACTACATTTTAAAATTAAAAAACAAATGCAATATTAAATGTAGCAGTTAAAATTAAAATGAAGGGGATATTTTTGGTCTCAATCAACCATTTTCATTTTGTTTAGTTTGGTTAAATCAAACATAAAACAATGTACTTTACGATTACAATCCTCACAAAAGTTATGTTTTACGCTGAGGCTGGTAAGGAATTACGTTATAAAACAAGTGAATAATGAAGCTAATATACGATCATCTACGTTGTGAGGATCCATAATAGCTTCCATCGTTAATGACGTCATTACGGAATAGATAAACGCTCCTGCTTGTATTGAGGGAATTTAATAAGAACTAATTACATTAGAGCTGCTCTAGTAAAATCTACGATCAAATAAGCTGCAATTTATGATATCGACTTCTCAACCTCCTCTTTTTATATCATTCACCACACTGTGGTGCAGATTATTATGTCTTTGGGCATATGTTTGTATGTTTTGAGAATATGCATAGAATCACTGTCTGAGTCGAATTATACATGTCCGTCCGACTGCCCGTTGGTCCATGTTAAATTGTATACAAAGTACAGGTCGCATTTATGATCCGAATTAGATGAAATTTGGCAGAGCTCTTTTACTTGGCCCAAGAACGAACTCTATTGAAATAAGGAAAATTCGGTTCAGTTTCAGATATAGCTCCCATATAAATTTTAGTGCGCCCCTATCACCAATGCCCCCATGTTTCTTTCGATTTGCACGAAATGTGGCATATCGTACTGAATTGAGTCTAGAATGATGTTTGTTAAGTTTCGTGAAAATCGGTTTAGATTTAGATATAGCCCCTATATATATTTTCGTTCGATTTTTTGTCAATGGTGCTCTAAAACCCCTATATTTAACTTAGTCCGATCATCCTCTAAAGGTAGTATGTCTGAGATAAATGAAACACATTTTCACAATTGATGCGTAAATATATTTTAGGTTTTATTTCTTCTTTTCATTTTTCACTAAATATTTTCTCTATTTTATATATGTATGCGTATGTATGTTAATTATTAATGTATGTTTTTTATTTAATGTCAGAATGTATCATCCTACTGATTTTTTGGTTTTCACTTTTACATAGATGCAAGTTTTGTATGTATTTACCTTCTACGCATTTAAAACTATTTTACTAAATTATTATAATTTAGAATAGAACTAAGTTTTTTTAAATACATTCCCAATAATGCTTGTTGATGTTTATATAGTAAAATTTGTCTATAATATATTTTTGCTAAACTTTGTTAAAACACACATACACATTTAGATTGGTTGATTTGTTGTTGTTTTTTTCTTATATCTTAAAATTTGTACAAAAACTTATTACCAAGAGAGAGATCAAAAAACAGACAGAAAACAGAGAGATCACAAAGAAATTACAAATATTAAGAATATTTGTGTGTGGTTACATTTTAATATTTTTCTTATCGTTTTTTTAATAATAAAAATAATATATACATTTATAAAAAAAGTAGATGATTAAACGGATTCTAATATGAGTTGATATTTAGTGGAGTTTTAGAAATGGTGTAAGTAACTTAAAAGTGATATCATGTGAATCATGATTTCTGTTTCTGTTATAGAGGGTTATGATTTTATGTGACCATTTGAGGGAAAACTTTGCTATGAGATCCACAACCAGACATAAGCATTTCAAAATGTCTTCACAAATTTTACGAACCTCATTACTCCCAAGTGTTAGCAAAATAATAATATGATTGTCTTGCTTAAAAGCAGCTTATGTGATTTTTTTCATTTTTTGATTTTTTCAAATTTTGATGAACCAATAAAAAAAAACAAAAACTAATTCTGATTATTGTTGTATTATAATCACCAATTGTATTACCATTGTATTAGCTCCAATATTCGTTGAGAAAGTAACTATTGTTAGTACTTAATTTCTATAGAATTCGTTATATATTTTTTTTGTTTTTTTTTATTTATTTATTTATGTATTTAAAATGTATTCCCTTTCATATTTATAGCTTGTAGCATAATGTTATAATGTACTAATGTTGTATTTTGTGTTATATATTTAACATATATATATTTGTATGGATTTCTTAAAAATTTATATATTTAACTGTCATATAAAAACTTTATTTTGTTTATATGGGTAAAATAATTCGCATATTCGCTAACATGAAAACATATTAAATATGAAATCAAAGCGAAATTTTTGGAACATCGTCCTTTAGAAATCCAAAATTCAAGCCAAACCCTTAAAAAATGTATATTTATAAAAAAAAACAGTAAGGAAAGGTTAGGTTACTGTTGGTGTGTAGCATCGGGGTATGGATGTAGTTTTGGAAATTCATGCTTATGGGTACTAAATTTTGTACAATTTGAATTTTGGAAGAACTGATGGAGCTGGGATACTGAAATTTGGAATAAGGATAATTGTTGGGTGTAGGATTGGGCTATGCAAAAAGTTTTGGAAATTCGTACTAATGTGTACTAAATGGTACCAAGTTTGGATTTGGGTGAACCGATAGAGCTGGAACTTGAAATTTGATGTTAGGATCACTTTTGGGGCGCAGGATTGGGGTATCTAGAAAGTTTTGGAAATTTAGATGAACCGATAGAGCTGGAACGCTGAAATTTGAAAATAGTGTGAGTTTTGGATTGGGGTATGGATGTAGTTTTGTAGTGAACCGATAGAGCTGGAATTCTGACATTGGAGAACAAATTTGGATTTGGCGGAATCTATGTTTGAAATGTGGGTTTTTTCGAAATAAGTATTACAAGAGTACATAGGACAATAAATGATACCAAATTTAGTATAGAGCTACATTTCTGTTGCTGTCAGAATTGGTGTGTAGAGTTGAGACTTATAGGTACTTTTGGAAATACGTTATTGGTTTTAAATAATTCCCACATTCGCTAATGAAGTTGCGGGCATATGCTGGTATTATATATAGAAATTTAACATCAACAGACGGACGGATCGACTCAGAATGTAATTCTATGCATATTCTCAAAGGAAACCATGGGTCTATCTCGATTCCTTTTGCCTGTTACAAACGTATGCACAAAAACATAATACCCTGTACCACAATGTGGTGAAGGGTATAATTAAAGCAACTTTTGGAAATATTTTGAATTATTTCTCCTTTAAGAAAACATATTGAATATTTATAAAAGACCACATAACGAATATAATGATTCGGTCTGGTCGAACTGACGGGATTTTTTATAAAAAAAGGTTTTATTAAATTTCTTTTTAATCTTTTCATTCAAAATACTATAACTCAGGCGAAAGAGGTTTTATTTAAAGAAAGTAATAATCGTAAATACGCAATTAGAAAAACTCCATAAAGAGTTTGAACTTAGAGTTTTGCGAGCAAAATATCTTCCCATAAAAACATTCGTGTTATGCTTCCGATTATAATTTCCCTATGTTTATAAATTATAATTGCTACCACCAATTATAATACATTCTATCCATTCATTATATGAAAATAATATTTTTATATGACAGACTTAATGTATATACTAAACATATGTATGTATTTTTGTGTGATATATATTCGCTGTTGTTTGTATTTACTTTATACGATTGGAGATTTTAGGTGGGTTTAGTGTTAGTTATATTCTTTCTGTGTTGTTTTTGCATTTTTGGAGTTCGGGACGTTTGTTATTTTGCAATGATTGCTGATTTATTTTTTTCATGGTTTTTCTTTTTTTAATTAAAATTAAAAACATTTTTTTTGAATATTCACAAAAGATTTGAATTAGTATTTCTTATATGCATTTTTTTTATTTTTATTTTAAATTAAAAGTTTTTTTTTAGTTTTTAGGTACTTAGTTATAGTGTTATTTTTTTGCGTGGTTTCATTTTGTCAAACAACAAGTGAGTTTTGAAATTTTCACATTAAATTTATAACTAAATAACAATTAATATAAATAAAAATAATACAAAAAACATACTATTTACTATCATATATATAAAAAACAAATAAAATATATTTGGGGGGCAATAAATAGAATCACATTAAAATTGTTCGTTTTTTCTTGGACTAGAATTTTGTATACAAAAAAATCATTACGACAATACTGTATTGGTTGAAATTGGAGGGGAAGTAGAGGATAGGAACAGGTTAAGACTTTAATTGCCTACTAACTACTATAATATTTTTATTTTTTTTAATATTAATATGCTATATTTATTTGTATGTATATAATTAGTAAATTGGAATGTTAACTGGCTTTCAAAGTCAGCCCTTTTCTTTTTTTGTGTTTTACATTTTTTGGTGTAATCTTTGTGGTGTAATTTTTGTTATCTTTGTTGTTTATTTTGTAATTTGCTGGCCTTACAAATTTTCTGTATTATTAATCAATGCATCTTCTTCTGTGGACATTTCACCATTGCCACAGGCCTTGGCCGGACTAATATCTTTCATCGATGGACATTTATTTTCTGAAGACAATTGTAAGAGTGGGGTTTTTATATCACCACCCTCGGTTTCCGATTCCATTTTCAAATGGATTTCCGTTTCGGCTGTACCTTCATTGTTACTAACGACATTGGCCACTGTTTGTTTTGGTATATCATCTGAAGATTGACCACATATTAAATTTAAAAAAAAATAATTTTTTCTTCCTTACAAAAACTTACCCTGGAAAAGAAAAACAGAATTAAAGTAAATATTATTAGAATGAATTTTCAACTTACTCTTAAATAATATGTCATCAGTTCACCTTTGCCCTTGACCGTAACCAGACCTCTCTGCAGAAATGAATAGCCAAATTCTTGTAAAATATTGCATGTCTCCTCCGTGACCTGTTGTCAAAAATTAAAAAATTAAAAAAAAAATCTAAAATTCCTGCAAACAAAGTCCGTGCAAAATATTTACCTGTATAGCACCAGCTTTACCCGTACTTTCCATGCGTGATGCCACATTTACCGTATTACCCCAAATATCATAGTGTGGTTTTCGTGCCCCAATAACACCAGCCGTTATGGGTCCATGATTTACACCCATTTTCAATACAAAATGATTAAACGATTGTTCGTTGATATCTTGTAGGGTTTTCTTAAGCTCCAGCGCAAATTCCACCAACAGATCTAAATGAGCCCAACGCTTTGTTATCGGATCGCCCGGTTTAATATCACGATTTAAATTGATGCCACTTGCTGCCATATACGTGGAACCGATAGTTTTTATTTTGATAATATCTTGAAATTGTGGAAGTTCTAGGAGCTGTAAAACAAAACAATATGGGCAGGATAGAAAAATTGTATTAAGTTTTGAATTCTCCATGCTCAACTTACCGCATCAAAGTCGGATATAACCTCATTAAGGAATCGCAAACATTCCAAACCTTGATTATTCACTGTCTCTTCGGAATAAAAATCTGAAAGAAAAAAGGGCAAAGTGAGTAAAAAATTTGACCTATTTCAATACAAATTGTGGCTACTTGGAATTTACACCTGTTCACGTATCGAACATGGTTTTCAAATAATAAAGATAGTGAATATCTTGCTTTGGATCTCTTGTGTAATCGAGAGAAGATTTAGTTAAACAGGGATCGATTTTCGTTTACAGTCCACTTGAGATAAGAGATTATTTTGGTTGAATGTTTGTACACAAAGAAATAAGACGTACTATAACTCCGCGAAAAATATCCGCTTAAACTAGAAAGATCCCTCGTTTAACATTGGTCCTTCGAGCCGGATCAGTGACCGATCGTGAAGAAAGAAATGCTGAAGAATTTACCTTAAGAGTGGTGGATAATCCAAATAAAATAATTGAAAAATAAAATGTCGACTCAAAAGGAGACTGCGGCAAGAAAGACGGCGGTGACGGCTAGCCAAAACGTCGAGAGGCAGCAGAATAAAGGGATGCGGTCGGGTGGAGGACGAATCGGTAGAAGTCTCGGCACCGACCGAAGAGAAAAGGCTTTTAAAGTTTGTATGGTTTAAGTCCAGAAATTAAAACAAAAGGCTCAAAGAATTGAGCTTCGAAACAAATATGGATTTGGTGGAGGACTGGAAAAGTCTCAGTTCAGTTTTAACAGGCGCGTGGTTCCATATTTTGATATACTATCCAGAGAATAGAGATATTATGGAACAGATTTAAGAAGAAAATGATCGAAATGAAATAGCGAAATGGGAACTACTTAGAAAAATGTGACATTCATCGTAAGAAGGAAGTGGTGGTTATGACGAAGCTTATCGATGATCCAGCCTTAAAAGAAAGGCGGAGTCACCAGGATGTGCCGCTTCAGAAAACAAAACGTAGCGAGCAGTTAATGGAAGATCTGGCCGATGTGAAGCTGAAGAAGAAAATTATCGAAATATGAAGCAAGGGGACAAACATACGGAGAAGCTGATGAAGACTATGGCCAATGGTTCAGGGTGGAATAAGAAGTCGGCAGACAAAGGTGGAGGTGCCGATAGGAGAAGCTGGTTAAAGAAATGGCGGTGGTGCCTATATGCGATCACCTATCAGTTTCTTTATTATTAAATATCTGATATTTTATAATTTTTACATTTTGGAATAGTTTACATTTTTATATTCAATTTCTGACCTGCAAGAACACCATTAAATCTGAAAATTTGTTTTCTCATTTACCTGAAAAATTCGGCATACTGGCAAAGAGCACACCAACTTCCGAATAACTCTGTGAGTATAAATCATCATGAGAACGTTTTGTATTCTTCATAAAATGTTCGGCCACGTGAACGGGTAGGACATTGTAGACCAACGCTTCGTTACGACGACGCATATCATCGGCCCTCTCCTTTTGTTCCGAGACTAGAAGTTTCCATTTGAATATGACACGATCTTCACGATCCATCTAAACAACAACAACAAGAAAAATTGGTTATTCTACAAAACTAAAATTACCCTCATTATTACTTACATGTCTTGCCCAGAAGCCCAAGGAGAGGGTGATTAAAACCAACGACACTGACATCACGTGACAAGTTGGCACTATTCTGTTAATAAAATTATTAAAAAAAATGTTTTATAATAAATTTTAATTCAGAATTATTTTAGCCAGAAAAAAACCTTACGGATTATAAGCCAAATCATCTTCTAGAGCATACAAATCATTGAGCACATATATATTGAAATACCAGTGGAGGCCTAAAATGAAAATTTTTATTCAGAAATATAATATTAGTATTCGTGGACTCAAGTGGTAATTAATAAATGTGGCAAAGAATTCTTGTAGTGGTGAACATTCTGTCAACTAATTCTGAAGTAAAGGTACTTTTTAGTATTTTTCGTGCCGTTCTAGTACGAATTTCAAAAAAAAAAAAACCTAGCCTTATCTGACACCTTTGAACCAAGAGTGACGCTCCCTAAATTTCACGATTCAATCAATCGCTTTACTCTTTTATTAGTATAGATAATTTTTAATTATACCCTTCACAGCTCTGTGGTACAGGGTATTATGTTTTTGTGCATATGTTTGTAACAGGCCAAAAGAATCGAGATAGACCCATGGTCCGTTTGGTGAATATGCATAGAATCACTTTCTGAGTCGATTTATGCATATTCGTCCTTCCATGTATTTTTGTGAGGAAAGTACAGATCGCATTATTGATCCGAATTGGATAAAATTTGGTACAGGTCACTTATTTGGCATAAGGACGAATCATATTGGAGAATATCGGTTCAGATTTAGATATAGCTCCCATATATAGTTTCGACTGATTTAATGTGCATCAAACTCCCAATATTAGTCCGATTGGGACAAAATTTTGTACAGCACACTGAATTGGGTCCTAATTGATGTATGCGAAGTTTTGTTGAAATCGGTTCAGATTTAGATATAGCTCCTATATATAGTTACGTTCGATTTTAGGTAAATGGTGCACCAAACTCCAAATATTTGTCCGATTGAGGCAAAATTTTGAACAGCGTACTGAATTAGATCCTGATTGATATATGCAAAGTTTTGTTGAAATCGGTTCAGATTTATATATAGGTCCGATATATAGTTTTTATGGGTTGTTTTAAAGTAGTTCAATTATCTATTTAGTTCACACATGTCTTTTGGTTCGTATTTTCGGCTTCTTCTCTACGTTTAGCCTTCACCTTTATCCGTTGTCAGAATCTTGTAAGTTTAGATTAACTACATTTTACCCATGTTCGGGTTTTGATTTAAAAAAATAACATACCTGTTATTAAAATTAACAATATAATTTTAACATAGTGTGTTAGCTGAGCTATAACCGTGGTGGCAATAAGAATTAGAACACTAAAATTGCTCAAATACGATGGATACATAATATTATCCAAGGGTTCTGGCGTAGCATCAATCATCGGTTCGGCAACCAAGAAATCCTCTTCACTCTGCGTTTTATTGAATACACTTTCGGTGACAATGTGCTCCGATTTAATATAGGCCACAAAGAAATACTGGGAAACCCAAAAAAAAATATTATTATTAGATATATGGGCTGAAGAAGTTTCCCAAAAGTACAATTACCTCATCTATAATATTGCTTAGACCCAGAGTCAAGACAATTATGACAGCTGTCAATTCACGCACCAATGTAAAATCATTATAACGTTTGCTAATGCTAACAAAGAAGTCGGGCAAATGGCCGGGAAAACTTTCGGCCACACTTATGAAGACTAGCATAAATATGGGTATTAAGGGGGCTGCTATATTCACAAAATGCAGCGGAGATCTGTAAAGGAGATTTTTGTTGGAACATTAAATAAAATATCAATTGTATGAGTTGCCTTATTAACCCCTCCTTACCTTGGTAATATTAAAAATGAATAAAATATATCAACACTTTGTACTATCAATGCGGCAATCAGAGGCAATGATGAATAGGGTTCTCTATACGATGCATAATCCTCTTCAGATTCTTTCGCTTTGAATTTAAGCAGGAAGTCAGTATCCTGATCCAAGTGCCTAAAAAATAATTTAAATCCTGGTTACTCCTATTGTAGATGTGTAAAAGAATACATACGCATAATAATCCCGATCCCGTAGAACATTGTGCAGCTGTTCCTTGAACAAGGCAGCTTTATCAGACACTTCCGTTTCATCGCTTTCCTTTGCGGCATCCTCTTTATTTCGCTCCGTGGCAAGTAGCTCTTCATCTAGGGTATCATCGTTATCGTTGTTGCCTCCATTCGTTTGGGTTTCGTTGATTTTCTTAGCACTGGGTGAGGCAAACTAAAAGTTGGAAACAAAAACAAAAAACCCACATGGGTGAGGGATGGGGTTAATGAAAAGATGAATGAAACGGCGTCACATCGTTGCAAGGCATGAAAATCAATGGCAACATGACAAGTCACTTTTCCAATTATACAAAGGAAATAAAGTTTGCCTTAGTGTTGTTGCCATTTAAATGGATGTCGGAGATAGAGAGGGACATGGGGTGATTTATGTCACACTTACAGGTTTCAGTACTTTTACTATGAAATATGTCTTTAGACCGGCAATTCGTAGGGCTTCTTCACGTTTCTCTCCATATGCGGGCTCAACTTCAAATTCACCATTCAAATATGCCAACGTTTTGTCAGAAATGTGGACACGTCTACAAAAAAAGATAGCAAAGGAAACACCAACAACAACAAAAATTAATGTCACACTCTCCCATGGCTAACTTTTTTTGTTCGAAAAATAATGGCTAATGGTCCTCTAATTTCTTGACATACCCAGCCTTTCCGCTTGATTCCATTTTATTGGCCAGCTCAACATCCTTTGAATAGACATCAAATTGCCATTGTCGTTGGCCCAATATACCGGCCAAGACAGCGCCCGTATGTATTCCAACTCTCATATCAACAGGTGAATTGGTCTTTTGTTGCACATACCTAAACACAAACACACAAACAGGATACAACCATACGATACGATATGACAGTAGAACAAAGAGTATGAGAACAAGAGCAGAAGGGATAGACAGACAGCAGAGTATTAGAAGACAGAAATCAATGGTTTTTCTATGAACGATACAAGGATGTAGAACAACAATGATGGCGACGCTTGATGTAGAATGGTGGGTGGGTGGTTGGTTGGTTGGCGGTAAGGTAAAGTTGGCTTTCACTTGTCTATGTCTGCTTGTCAGAAAAATGACACGGGGTCACATAGAAATGGACAGCAAGCCAACCAAGTTCAGGCCCCCACCACAGCCATTATACAATTATCGTCGTCATCATCATTAGCATTATCATTTATAAGGGTTTCAATCAATACATTAGGGTGTCCCAAATTTTTTACTTTTTAAGAATATTTTTAAAATATGTTTCATGGTGATATTAAAATATTTACTTTCATAGGTCAAAAAATATAGCTAATGAAAGCTTCTTAGTATGGAATTATCAATATTCGTATTTAAAACTGCATCCCTATATTCGGTAAATAGTTTATTTAGATGGGACGATTAAAACAGTAACAGGCAAAAGGAGACGAGATAGATACATGCTTCCGTTTGAGAATATGCATAGAACACATTCTGAGTCGAATTATACATGTCCGTCCGACTGTCTGTCTGTCCATGTTTAATTGTAAACAAAGTACAGGTCGCATTTATGGCTCGAATTGGATGAAATTTGGCACAGCTCATTTATTTGGCACAAGGACGAACCCTATTTAAATTGAGAAAATTCGGTTCAGATCTAGATATAGCTCCCATATATATGTTCGTCCGATTTAATGTAAATGGTGTACCAAAGACCCAATATATCTTTCGATTTGCACGAAATTTGGCATGACACACTAAATCCAGTCTAGAATAAGTTCCCTGAAAATCGGTTCAGATTTAGATATAGCTCCCACATATATTTTCTTCCGATTTTATGTAAATGGTGTACCAAAGACCCAATATATTTTCCGATTTGTACGAAATTTGGCATAGCACACTAGATTCAGTCTAGAATGATGTGTGTTAAGTTTCATGAAAATCGGTTTAGATTTAGATATAGCTCCCATATATATTTTCTTCCGATTTTATGTAAATTGTGCACTAAAGACCGAAAGTTTGTCCGATTGGCACACAATTTTGTACAATATACTGAAGATTATTTAATTTATTACCTGACAAGTTTCGTGAAAATCGGTTCCTATTGATTTTATGTATTTCTTTCGACTTACACGAAATTTTGCATAGCGTACTGATTTAATGTTCCTTCGAAAGGGCGACGTCTATTGGGATACCTATGTAAAATATACCAAAGTGGTGAAGGGTATCATATAGTCGGCCCAGTCGGACTTTACTACTTTCCTTACTGGTTTTAGTTCCTCTTTTGTGCAATTACAACCAATTTGAATATCAATTTAATTGACTTCGAAGAACTATCTGCGATTCTCTCCCAAATCGAAGGGAATTACTTAAAGAGCCTAAATAAGAGAAATATTAGCAGAATTATGTAGTCTTCAGAAAATATTTTTATACAAATCTACGGCTTGACCAAGCTTAAAAAAAATTTTTAAAAATCTACACCTTGACCAGACTTCTTAAAAATTATGTGCGCCTTGTTTAGTCTTAAAAACATATTTTTATAAAAATCTACGCCTTGTTTCGTCTTAAAAAATATTTACGTCTATTTTAAATATTTCAGAAACAGGGTTTTATTTTTTTAATATAAAAAACTCAATTCAGGGACACCCCAAAAGCTTTAGATTTTTCTTTTTCATTCTACATCACCAATATGAACTTACTTGATTGCCTTAACCATCGACAAACCCATATGCACACAGAGGACAGCATGATCCGGTCTTTCGTCGGGAGCTCCGCTAATGCAATAGTAACAGTCACCTAGAATTTTTATACGTAGTTGTTGGTATTTCTATAGATGACGAAGACGAAGCAGCAGCACCACGACGACAACGACATCGATGAAAACGGTCAACAGGACAACACAGCCGGCCACAGCGGAAACGGAAACCGTTAGCATAAACAGTGTAAGCAGCAAATGAATGTCACAAGGCAATGGAAAAGAAAGTAAAGGAAAACAACAACAACAAAGAATGGTGTTGTTAACTGATTTTTAAACGGTTGTTTAATTATCGACTCTGTGTCGTTTATCGTTCATTTATTATTAACAGCATCCAACAATGGATGCAGGACATCGAAGGAATATGAAATAAATATAAGAAAAAAAAAATAAAAATAAGAAAAACAAGGAGGAGGAGGAGAACAACATAAATGCAAGCAAAAAACCACAAACAAAGAATGAAATGAAGGTATGTCACCACCACGGAGCATATATGTTAAATTTATCGTGGTTTTATGACATATCCCTTGGACATTACAAGAATTAAGAATTGTGTATTTTTAATGATTTAAGATTACAGTTTTTATATCCTTGGACTTTTTATTTGGACAGGGTATAACAGTTGTGGTAGGATTTTGTTAATATGAATATTTGAAAGCGGCCAGGTTCATAGTTGTGGTGGCATGTATCGATATTAATATATTCTCATGAAAGGCTCAACACCGCCATTTTCCAAAAATTTAACTGAAATCCACGCAGTTGTCCACTTCATAATCAATCATTATTTTTTTTCATACTGTTGACAATCTTTTGCTATACCCTGTATGTGTAGTTCGCGTACATACAAATGTATTTACATTTATATTTTGTACATAACAAATTAAACGGTGTAATGTTTCGTAAAGGTTAATCAAATCAAAATTAAAGTAAACCAATCAAAAGTAGAAAAAAACGTATCGCATAAAAAATTCCATCAACTAGCCAACCCAAACCAGGAAAGTAATCAAAAAATCACAAAACAAAAAAAAAGGACAACGAAATACAATACCAAAAAAGGATTAACAGGGCAATAGATATCAAGGCTAAAATCAAACAAAGAAATAACACTTTTTTGGATTAACATGAAAATAAACCAAGTAAATAAATAACGAAAGGAAAACAACAATATGGGTAGGACTAATTTACCTCGGCCAATCGATCAAAACGGGCGAATAGCTCATTTAACATTTTCACCAAATCCTGGGCGCTGTATGTCGATGATATGGCAGTGAAGCCAACAATGTCAGCGTATAATATACTTAAGTGTATAAATAGGGAAAATAAATTACACAGGGAAATAAGAATTATATATCAAGTTATGGTCGGCGAAGATAAAGTGGTCACAATGGGGTTATATCGCAGATAATACGTGCTACCATCTGAGCTAAGCTAACTCCCGTTTTTGGCATTTCGAGGCCTTGGGAGAAGTTTACAATCGAATTGTTTATATTTTGACACCCTTCAGAAAATATTTTTATAAAAATCTACGCCTTGAATAAACTTCAGAAAATAGTTTTTTTATAAAAATCTACGCCTTGAATAAACTTCAGAAAATAGTTTTTTTATAAAAATCTACGCCTTGACCATATTTTTTTATAAAAATCTACGCCTTGACCATCTTTTTTTATAAAAATCTACGCCTTGACCATATTTTTTTTATAAAAATCTACGCCTTGACCATATTTTTTTATAAAAATCTACGCCTTGACCATATTTTTTTTATAAAAATCTACGCCTTGACCATATTTTTTTTATAAAAATCTACGCCTTGACCATATTTTTTTATAAAAATCTACGCCTTAACCATATTTTCTATATCTCAAGTGGCGTTATTCAAATTCTATCCTGGAGAAAATGTATCCTACTGAAGATAAAAATTTATAAATGATGGCTGCGAAACTCCCAATCACGTCCTCATGTCAGATAAAGAATAGAAACACCCCACATCGTGGATAAAATAAATCCGTCGGCTATAGTCAGGAGATTCGGGGTCCCACTACCTTATTCTGCGTACAACTGAAAGGGTTAGAAAAAATAATACCCATTCTACTCGAGCTTGTAAGGAGGTTATGGCAAATTCTGGTTGAGAAAGCTGAATATTTGGACCACAGACATTTGTCCTCAAATGCTCAGTAAGGGGTTTTTATTATATAGGCATCATTTATATTATTTTTTGTGATTTAAAGCGTCAACAATAAATCCTTATACCAACCCATTGTGACCTCTTTTTCAAAAGTAAAACCAAAATTCAATTTTTTTTCAAACTAACCTCACATTCTCATGACGACTCATATAGATTTTTTTAAATGGTTCCGAACTTGCCGAACCCAAATCTTGACGCATTTTTTCGGCCACGTGTTTTGGCAAAACGGATAACAGCAGACGTTCCTGTTCGGACGATTCCTCTTCGATGATCATCTTTACTTCTAAGCTCTTTTTGGCCTCCAAAAAGGCTCGCTTCTGTTTGGCGGCATTCATGTCATAGTAAATTAAACCAATTATCAATGCTGACGAAACTAAAACCATATTCGCCATTAGCTTTTGTGGGAGAACAGAAAAAAAAATAGAACAACGAAATTGATTTTGTGTCACAATATGTGGTTTTTGAGGTTATGCATGATGCTGTGAATTTGCCTACCATTTCATTGAACATGGGATCATCACGTGATGTCAAGTAGATTACAATGTAGTAACCAAAAAATGTTACAAAACACATACAACAGCCCATATAAGGAACTACCGGTATGCTAACGGGTACCAAAAAATTAAATAATATCGACCAGCCCAGCAGCTCCCTAGAATAGGAAAAAAAATAGAAAATATTGTTGCGGGATTAAACGATACGATTAAATGTGTCATTATTATTTGACAATTATAATCCTTGTTTACAAACCTGGGCGATATGGTCTTTTGTTGGTTAACACAATAGATTATAAAATGTATTACAAAGCAGATAAATACTATAATCGGTGCACTGTCTATTAGCATGGCAATGTGCAGGGGCTTTTTCGATTTGGCCCGTTCATAACGGCTGGCCATAAACATTGTCAGCCAACTGCATATGGCTATTAGATCCAGTATAATATAACAAACTGTAAATAATTGAAAAAAATGACGTTAAGAAGAATAAATATGTGGAAAAAGATTATAGTTCTGTTAGGTCCACCATTATCAAATCTTTTAATAGATTTCTGTTATATATAGTGTCTACTTACCTCTATTCTGTATAATTTGATCAGCTGGAATACCAATCGTATAAACACTAAAGCATAAATATGCCGAAAGGAACCATTTTAAAGCTTCACGCCTTTGATTGACATAAAATGTTGTAAATAATTTATTTAAAACCGAATTCGGTAAGGTTACGGTGGGTCCCTCCGAGGACTCATTTTCGTCCTTGCGGTTCTTCTCAATCGATGTAATGGAATGGCCATTTTCAATAATATTGCAATTCTGTTGTTTGGTTTCCGTCATGGCGACCGCAAAACAACCGCGTCCGCAGCAGCAACAACAACAACAAAAACGATTTGCGAGTATTTCCTTTTCTTTTTGTTTTTTGGTTTAATTGCGAGTTTTATAGCTTATCGGTTTTGGGTTTTGTGTTGGTTTTTTTTTGGCTCTTTCAGTATAAGAGATTTGTTTTAGTTCACAACCTTATCTTTACGGTTTAGGGCATTGTTTTCATTCGGTTTCTTTAGTTTGTTTATTGCTGTTTATTTATAAAAAGAAAATTGAATTATTAAACATATTCACTCACACACGAACCCACACACACGCACAAAGTCATTCACTCGGTCTCAAATCTCTAACATCTGTTTTTTGTCTGTTTGTTTATTTCTAATGACCGTTAAAGGACTAACTAACAGTAAATGTAAACAAAAAAATTTAACCGCGCTTTTTCCACATGTTTATTGTTGCCAAAGCAGAATAAAGCTTTTTGCCTCTTTCTCTCTTTTGTTTTAAAATCAAAACTCTCATTTCCGTAATGCTCTTCTCAGTCCATATGTTTTTTGGGAGCATACACAGAGAAATCATCATCATCTCACGTCTCGAGTGTCATAATGCTACTGAGATTAACTTTACACCAGCTAAACAAATACGACAAAAGCACTTGCTTGCCTTTGTCAACCAAAAAAGAAAAAAGAGGATATTTAATGTTCTTCAAGGACCGAAGGAGGATTCAATTTTAAATGACAAGACAAACAAATACGTACATATTTATTATTATCATGCCCATAAGTATATGTGTTGATGTTAGGAAAATAATACCTAATACTAAAATTTAAATTTGATGCTATTTAAAAAAGCTTTACTCAAACCCTCTCCTTCCCCCTTTCGATGTTGTATTCAAATCAATTAATTGACAATATGATTTTATTTTGCCTAATCCCCTCCCAATACATTAAAAATGCGTGTACTCTTCTTTTTTGGGAGAGTATATGTTGTACAGAGATGGGAGTTTAACACGTATATGTATTTTTAAAAACATAATGTAATAGTACGATTACATTTTACCGGATTTATTTAACCCGGTGGGTACCAATTGTCACTTCCATTGCCTATTTGTCAGATTCCCTATTTGTCAAAGCCATAATTTTTACATTTGTTTTTAAATTTTATTGAATGAAAACAAAAAATGTCGGATATAGCATCAAATTTTAGATCTGTTAGAATTGGTCACTATTGGCACTAACTATGGCCTTCAAACGGCCAATGAAACCGCCACACGCTGCCCGAATGTTGCTCAGCGGGATTTTGGCCCATTCACGGCGAAGCGCTTGCTTGAGGTGATCGACTCCTTGGTATTTTTTAGTACCAACCTTGCTTTCCAAAATACTCCAGGCACAATAGTCCAACGGATTGGTATTCAGAGATTTTTGATAGCCATTGTGCGCTGAAGCGAGGGACCTCATTTTATAACGATTGTTGGGTGGCGCGTGATGAGTCCTGTTGGAATGTCCAAGGTATGCAGCCAAATGTTTGCGTGTCCAAGGCTTTTATACACCCTCCAGAATATTTTCGCGATAATATTCGGCATTTAGACTGATGCCACGGTCGATTAATACGAGCGCAGAGCGACCATCGGCAGCTATGGCGGTCCACACCATCACAACGGACGGCGCTTGAGTTCTGGTGGCCAACCGAAGGTGCACATTTTCAGCTGACCTCTTTGGCAAGTAAACACGATCATTTTGTTTGTTTACAACGAACGTTTTCTCATAGGTTAAAACCAAATTCGGCAGTTCACCACTTTCGTCCAAGCGAAGGAACTCTTAAGCTCTTTTGAGTCTGCTTTCCTTCTGTTGCGGTCTAAGTTCTTGCACTTTTTGGAATTTCAATGGCTTTAACCCAAGCTCAATTTTCAATATTTGCCGATTAGAATATTGCGATATGTTCAGCTCACAAGCCATTTTTTGGCCACTGCGACGCGGGTTTCGATCAAGTCCCTTCTTTATTTTTCGAACGATTTCTGCTGATGTTGCTGTTTTCTTTCTTCCACTTCCTTGACGTCGGGCTACGCTACCAGTATCACGGTAACGGACGATGGTACTGGACACAAAAGACTTATTCACATTATATGCTGAAGTGCTCTTGTGGATTTCCAGCCAAATATAAGGAGTACGTTTTTCAACAGAATTGGTTCTAATTTAATATTACAAATCTTTGTAGGTATTGGACATAAGTGTGTATACTATTTAATTACAAATGAATTTAATCTCAGTAAAGTCTAATTTAAAGTCAATTTTCAGTTGGTTAGCACTTTGTTTAGCCTCCCTTGGCCTTTATAACAGCTTGAAGTCGTCGTGGCATTGATTCCGCTACCTTTTATGGAATCTATACAGGTATTTGTTTCCACTTTTCTAGTATCGAAGCTTTAAAGAAATCTTTTTACTGTTTTTTTTTCGAACTTTTAGGTCCAAGTACTCCCTTCGCTAGGCGAGAGGTATGTATGTTGTCCTGTTGGAATATCCGATTACCAGACAAAAGCCAATCTAGCAACGCTTGGTGTCACAGTTTTGTTTAGAACATCTATGTAACCTTTCGCATTAATATTCGTTTCAATGAAAGCAATTTCTCCAAAGCAGAAGCCGGACCTTTTGAAATTGTCTAATTTCTTGTAGGTTTCGAATTTATCAACGATTTTCTTCCTTAAATCTTCCTTAAATCGATAATGATATTTGTGGTTTCTAAGGAGATTTCAGTTCTCATTGTTCTGACTACGTTTTCTCTATTAAATCGATCTTTTCACTTCAGATAACAATGAGGAATGACTAAAGGAAACCATTGATGTTTTTCGCTTTTATTCGCTTTAGGTTCGACTGAATAAAACCTGTAATTTTTTTTTTTTTTTTTATTTTACAAACACCTGACGCGAACAAAATTTTTCTAGGTGTTTACACACCTGTACAGGTTTTTTTTTATTTTATAAACACCGTATTTTGAAGGTTTATCCATTGGCGAACAAAATGTTTTTTTTTAATTTTTAAAGTTTTTAATCGAATTGCTCTTCGAAGTGTCTCTAATTTAGCATATTGGATTCCTGGTGGCCAATTTAAGAAATTTTGAATGATCACCACGTGGAGGAGGGTATAAAAAGTTTGGCCCCATCCGAACTTTACGTCGGTATTACTTGTTTATGTCTGTAAAATTCAATGTCGATGTATCCATGTCCTAAGACTAGGACGATTCTTCGTTGAATATATGCGACATCGTATATAATTACAGCAACACAAATAACCGTATAGTATTATATATAGTATAATAAATAGCATTTCCTGATTTTTTTTTAGATACCCTTTAGATCTCTTCTTAATCTTCCAATATATTTCGTGTACTTTCCAAAAGCATTTAAAACTTCCCATCTCTGACACAGAAGGAGTTTTACAATTGTATTGTCGTTAAAATTCGCTTCGGTGTCTCCTGAATGCATATACACATTCGAATTAAAGCTACCCGTTTTCCCAGAGGAGGCAACTCAATTCAGTAATTTAAATTTCCATAATATGTTAATAAAGTCATTCTGCTGTCACAAAGAAGAGGAAGAGCTGATGATGATGGCGTAGCGATAATATGAATACACTGTTAGCTAGCTAAAGTCCTTCTTTTTTTAATTATCATCTGCATCATCGGCAAGATAATATACAAATACATGCACAAACAGGAAACGGGACATTGTGGGATTCTTTTAAAAAATCATTTTTTCTTCTTTGCTTTTTATTACGCTTTTTTCATTTTGGTGGAACACTTGTTTTCGTTTTTCAACACACACTTGGTTTTACTTTATCAGCCCCGAAAATTTATGAATACTATAGAATAGAATTTTATACACATTTGTATGCAAAAAAAAATTATAAGAAGGACTATTTTGGTAATGTTGTTTTTGTTGGTGTTTCTGTATTCATTTCTGTGTACATTTTTTTTTTTGTGATTGACATTTGTGTAAATTTTTGGCTTAATTTTCTTGTATGATTTTAACAATTGTTTCCGCTTTGGTTTTTGTTACACTATGAAAACTGTGTTTGTTTGTAGCAACCGTGTTATTTCATTGTATTATTTCAGAATTTTCTTCCATTTCCATTCTACTTTCATTTCCTCTCGTTGTCCGTATTTAATAATTTTCCGTAATCCGTTTTTTCGCAATAGTTTTCTAAGCTATTTCTCGTAGAAGACTGAATATCCTTTTGGTCCTTACATTAAAAATAGTATGACTGAGTGACTGAGGGAAAAGCTTTGGGGACATTGAAATAGCTAAAGCTTTCTTCTACCCCATGAGAAATGGTAGAGCTTTGCCAAACAAGTGTATGCGTGTGTGTGTGTGTGTGTGACATGTGTCAAAACAGAGAAGGCTGACAGAAATGCATAACTGTCATATCATTGTCATTTCAAGGAATTGAATTCCCTCAAGGAAGCAAGTGTTGGCGGGAACATCAATCTCTCGCACAAATGCACGCACACAGAGACACGAATGTACATAGATCCCGACAAACAGGTAATCATGCAAGGGATTTCTTTCGTTTTGTTCTAAGAATACTTTCTTTTTGCAGCTTGCGACATTATTATTTTTGTGGCAACGAATCCTTCTCTTGCAGCTGTTTACCTAAGAAGAAAAAAATGCCCTTTGGCATTAGCAGCCTATGTGCATGCCCATTTCTGGCTGATCGCTGTACTGTTACTGTACAACATGCTCAGACACAACGCACACACATAAATCCCTCTCTTTACAAAAACACAACCACCGCCGCCGCCAAAAAAAAGGAACAGCTGCTATCCGGTCTCCTTTGTAATGAATTGGTTCATCCCATTTTAGAGCACAAGACAAACGCACATACACACATTGCACTTACACAAACATAAAATTATACATAAATAAATGTACAAACGCACAACTAAATCGCAAACATGACAGCTGATTAATTACATTGAAGGAAGTGAATCTTCCGCTCTTTATTTGTGGAGAGAAAATTTAATGTACATAACATAATTGCAAAAAGAGGGAGAATGAGATGCATTGTAAATAAAATGTAGATAAAATGTATGTACGTATGTTGAAATATCATTCAATTGTATAGGGTTAATTCACATGTAATCATGGAGAGTTACATTTGATTATATTTTATTAAATTTTACTTGATTATATTTAATAAAATTAGCAATATATTGTTTGGGTTATATAATTATATAAAATTAGCATAAAATACCAATGCCTTATATTACAAGGGGCGATAAAATATTTACAAATTTAAGATGCTAGTTTTTTATAATAATAGATTAAAAGTCCGGCAATTTAAAGAAATAATTGATACATTCGATTTGAATGCATGTTTAAAACCAGTAGAGAAAGTTCCAAAGTCGGACGGGCCGACTATATGATACCCCCCTCCTAATTCAGCACGCTGCGCAAAATGTTTGTGCCAATCGGGCTAAATTTGACTCTTTGGTGCTCCATTTACATAAAATCGGACCAAACTATATATGGGAGTTATATCTGAATCGATGCCAACAAAACTTGGCATACATCAATCTAGACCTAATTCAGTACTCTGTGTAAAATGTTGTCTCAATCGGACCAATATTGGCAGTATGATGATCCATTGTCATAAAAGCGGACGAAACTATATATGGGAGCTATATCTATGTCTGTACCGATTTCAACAAAACTTGGCATACATCAATCTGGACCTAATTCAGTACTCTGTGTAAAATTTTGTCTCAATCGGACTAATATTGGTAGTATGGTGCTCCATTTACATAAAATCGGACGAAACTGTATATGGGAGCTACATCTAAATCTGAATCGATTTCAACAAAACTTGGCATATGTTAATCTGTACCTAATTCTGTTCTCTGTGTAAAATGTTGTCTCAATCGGACCAATTTTGTGAGTTTGGTGCATAATTTACATAAAATCGGAAGAAACTATATAAAGGAGATATATCTAAATCTGAGTCGATTTTCTCCAATTTAGGGTTCGACCTTGGGCCCAATTTCATTCAAATCGGATTATAAATGCGACCTGTATGCATTTGAGCGGATATGCATTTTTATAAAGAAAGGAAAAATTGTTATCGCAGTAAAAATTTGTACATTTTTGCAGTTGTTGGAACACACATTTTGTGTTTATTCGTATTCTGAGAACGCATTTTACTATTCAAGAAAGTACGGGAACAAAGCAACGTTGTTCGAAACTGTACAATTTTACCAAGTAGATGGTGGATACCTACTAGCTCAGCATTTTATTGATAACAGTAAACATTGCAAAATTGTAATTAGGTACAGTTATCTAGGAAAAAATAGTGCTGTTTGTAATATTGCTTGTCGTTGTTGTATGCCAAGATCTATAATTACAACATTGTGTAAACGTAGTTTAAACAAATTTTAATACACCCTACATTATTAGTCACTCATATTATCTCTACGATTTTAAAAATGTTCTTTAACTAAAAATTATTTAATTTATTTAAATTACCTTCAATTTTTTATAAAAAAAAATATCATAAAAATCCCGCTTAAAAAAAAGGATCAATTAATAGTTTCATATTTTTATTTCGGTCCATTCTAATACATTTGCAATTGCGAAATACAGAAAAAACGAGATGAATATAGAATACACAAAATGACTATCGCAAATCTATTTGTCACACGTTCGCACTGAAGCGTCACTCATATTCGAATAAAAACTTTCGTTAAGCTTATAGCGTAGCTTTGACGTGTGTGTGTGAACACGTACGGTAAACGTAAATGTCGTAGGTATTCGCGTTTTACGTAAAGTATTCACAACGTAGAAGGAAAATATTATGTTTTTTTCCCGTACCAAAAAAAATTTAATATTTTAAAAAATATTTTAATATTGTTTACTATGTGAAAAAATTGTTAAAACTTTTCAAATATATATAAAAATGACAATCTAATTTAATTTTTTATTAATATGTTTCATTAATTGGGTAACTGAACTAAATATCTCTAAATCATACATTTGGAAATGTTACCTTTTTTATGTACGGAAACACAAACTATAAATCATGGCATATTTACAGAAGGTAAAATCAATAATGGCAACCCTTTTTGATTTGGAACTCATCTATCAATTTCAAATTGTTTGAAAAATAAATTCCATAAAGTTTTATGCATGTCGAATGGCAAATGTCATTTTGGTCACTTTTTTCTTCGTAAAAATGAAACTAAAAAGGCAAATTCAAAAATGTTGGTTGCATTTAATTGGGTACTTTGTACTAAACAAAACTACCTAAATTTAAAAATCTAACTCCTAAAAATAACTATAAAAAAATAAAGAAAACGAAATCAACTCCAATGTACTCACTTTTGTACGTCTGCATTTTTTAATAATGTGCACGTTTTTTAAATCTTTTTTTGGTTTTCATTAGTTCTTTTTTAAGAAAATATAATTTTACATCATTTAAATCCCATTTACTAAATTTGTACAAAGTTTTGAAAAAAAAAATCAAATAAATAACTAATAATAAATCATGAAGAGATATTTAATAACCACTGAAGAGGCCATTCGGGTTTTGAGTGAAAGAAGCTGTTCTATCCTGGAAATTGCAAATGGACTTAAATTGTGCCAATTATTGGTCATATGGGTACAAAAACAATGTTCCGTTGTTCCCAAACCTCACGTCTAATGTTAAGGGAAATGTAAATTGATAAGTTTTAACCCCAAAATATGCTTCGTAAGAAGTCTATTGATAGCATTGTAGAGTCATATCAACCGGTCTTTACCGGTAATTATGAACAAGATGGTGATCAAAGATATTCGTCCAAAATCGTGATTTAATATCTTCGTGAGCAATATTTTCAATTAACACAGTGGTCAGCACAAAGTTTCGACATCAATCCGAAGAATAATTTGGGGCCAATCGTAAAGAGAGAGGTGGGACAGTACCAATCAGCCCCTAATAATTTAGACGAACTTTGGCAGTGGATCTTAGGTGATTGGAAGAATATTTCCAATGAAATGGTACTAAAATTGGTTGAAAATATGTCAAATTGCATAAGTGATACAATAAAAATATGAAACTACGGTATAAGTAATAAAAATATTCGTATTCTGCAAAATTTTTCAAACGTGCAAAAGTGAGTAGAAATTTAAGAGTTAATTTTTTTTACTTTAAGTTCTTTTATTATGCACAAAATACCTTATAAAATACAACCAACATTTTTGAACTTTTATTTTTATGACTTAAAAAGTTTCCAAATTACAAACATGTACTCGCTTCTGCTCGTCGCTGTAGATGTTACAACTTAGATTTACACATTATAGAGGCAGGGAAATGCGTACATTTCGAAGGATCATTTAAATTTTGAAAGCTGAATCACATCTTATATAAGTGCACCTTTGATTAAACCCTGTCGATTAATAAAATAATGATTTATTACATGAAAATTTATTCAAGAACAAAAAAATTTATTATTTTAAATAAAATAAATAAATAAAATAAATAAATAAAATAAGAACCTTAATGGTTGTCACTCACATCTTATATAAGTGCACGTAATTTTAAAGAATATAAAATTTGAAAAAGTGTCAAATCCTTAAAGATCCTACTATATACACATCTGTTTTAGCTATTCTTTTACATCTATAGAAATTGTTTTGTATACATTGTTTTGCTAAAATATATATAATCCATGTCTTGTCTTTGAAGAATATAAAATTTGATTTAAAAATACACTGTGAATTCTGAAAAAATTGCCAAATCCTTAAAGATCCTACTATATACTCAGCTATTCCTTTAAATCTATAGAAAATAATTTGTTTTGCTAAAATGTCATCCATGTCTTGTCTCACCTTTGATATTTTATTACCTCATAAAATAAAACACTTATAGTACATAGGACATATTTTACTTACATCCCCTTTTGGGCATGTAAACATTAATTTTGTCACATTTATTGTAATGCCTATGTACAGGCAAAGTAAATACGCATCGCACGTAATTATTCCACACATCCTAACACAATACGTTACGCCTTAAGTAAGTAACTATCGCTCTACCTGAGTTACGGTACAACACGGCTAAACAGCCATTAAACACAACGGGTGGAAAGAGTACAGCAATAGCAGAGGTAAATGCGAAATTCTATTGCCATTGCAAGCGTTGCCATTAACTGAACGAAACTCAACGAAATTCTAGCCGAATACAACGATTCAATTCGACGCCAACTAATTCGATACAATTTCGACAATCATTCGGCGTTAATCAGCGAGCGGAAGCAGACGTGTGCAGTGGCCAGTGTTAAAAAGCAGAAAAAAGCAAAGTAGAATTTTTTAAAATACAAGACCTCATTTGTGTGTGCGCTTCAAGTTTAACAAATAAAAGTCTCTTTTTAATAACTGTACATTGTACAAAAGTGTGACTGGATTTGTGTTTTATTTGCCAACAAAATAAAATACAAATTTCTGTAAAACCAATCAAATTTTAAAAGTTTTTTAAACAAGTTTTTAAATTAAACACCAAACTTCCAACAAAATGGCCGATGTTGCTGTAGAAAAGAAGTGAGTATAAAATGAAATTTTGCGAAATTGTTGAAGAAAAGGAATTGCGAATCATTTGGAATTCGGTAAAAAAATTGTTTATTTAAAATTTATGCAGAAATTCGATGAAAAAATGTGTTGTGTGAAAAATGGACTGGAAGGAAAATTTTTCTTTTTTGAAATTTTGTCTGTATCACAAAACAGCGGCATTTGCGAAAAAAAAATGCACGGCGTCCCTTTGCTTGGATGGTGGTTAAAGCGGCTGCTGCTGTCTTATTTCCTCTTGTGTGTTGTGTGCTTTGGCCGCACGAAAGTTGTTCATGTCTCATCTCTTCAGCGGCGTCGTCGTCGTGTATAGTTGTTTCTGTCTACCTTTTTGCCGTTCGTGTGTCGGTGAATTTTTGGTGCTTTTTATTTATGTACAACAACAAAGTGACGTTAAAATGAAGCGGCATTTGAAAACACTTGCGTTATAAAATATTTCTTCGAAATTAAAAAAGACGCCAAGTCGTTATTTTTGCGGTGTTTCTGTGAGTGTGTGTGTTCGCTCGCATTTGTTACTGCGGCCGGCGTAGCTGTTGCTGCCGCCGCCACCACCATCAACATCATCATCACTTTGAGCAGCATTTTGTATAATGGGAAATGGAGTATGTACGTTATTCGGTGATGATGATGATATTAAGGAGAAGAACAACTGGTCTCTGGCTGCTACACATCGTGGTTTTGTGATGTGAGTGAGTTTGGATCCAGGGTTGTTGGCGGTGGATGTTGATAAAGAAGAGGATGGTTGGTAGGTTTTGGCGCGGTGCAGGGTCGTCTTGTACACTTTTGGTAGCATCAAGTAAATCAAACCAAGCGACGTCGGCGAGTCCGGGCCAACCAGCCAGCCATCTATTCATGCCTCAGCAAAAAGTGTATAAGTTTTGCAATATGTGTATAGACATTTTTATGTCGGTTTAAAGAAGCATATTTTTCGTTTTAGTTGTGCTTGGCTTGTTGTCTTCCGGCTTGTGTGTTCACATAATGCCGGTTTATAGGAGAAAACCGTTTGTGTACATGAGAAAAAAAAATAGTTTTTGATATTTTCTTTCAATTAGTTTTTGATACTACGTAGTAGTGTGTGCCTAATTTTCTTATTTTCCATTACTATTCGGATCATTGCCAAATTTGTTTTTCAAATACACGCTATTTATTTTGAACATTCATTTCTTTCGATTGGATCGGATCTCTCCCCCGCTTTCCTTTCAAGTGTCTATGTGTAATAAGTTCATGTGCACACACAAAACGTTAATTGATTTGATTTCTGTTCTCATTACATACGATTGAAATTTAAAAATATTTTCGAATTCCCCCCTTTCTAGTGGCAGAGTGTGAGGAATAAAACAAAATGTAAATTTTTAATTTTTTTGCTTGGTGATGCCATTTCTGTTTATCGTACATTTTTTTCTTCGTTTGGTATGCCTTTGTTGTAGCGGCGTCGTCGTCGTCTCATAAGCTCTGAAACACGTTTTGGTGGTATTCTACCTTTAAAAAAAATGTCGCTCTAAATTCATTTTGTTGTTGTGCATGGCTTAAAAGAATAGCTGTGTGCGACTTGATGGTTTTTAGCAATTTTTTTCATTTCTTTTTTTTTGTATCTATTGGTCATATTTTCCATGTCTGTCTATTCATGTTATCGCGATCATCTTCCATTTTTCATAAACGAAGGTTTTTTTTTGCCGTACCTAATTGAGGCACGCATAAAATATTAGGTTCGTCGGCATTTTTTTAGTTCAGCTTTGAAAAACACCATTTTTCATTTTGGCAGTTAGTATAAGCAGCTCAACTAAATTGTATTGTTTGTACGTGCGAGAGTGTGTGTTTGTTGTGTCGGTGTTTCTACTCTCTGCCGGTATAAAGCAAAGCCCTGTTCGTTCAAATGTCCGTTATTTTTCATCGTGCTTAACAACATTTTTGTTGGTTGTTATATATTTTACTTGAGAGGGGCTTATTTTTACTTGATTTGTGTCTCTATCTCTCTGTCTTCTTTTTCCTACCATTTTTTCAAACCAAATGCAAAAGGCGCGCAAAAACCTTTGTGTGCATATTTGCCTCTCTTTTTTGCAAACACCAAAACCATGACACTTTTTTTGTTGTTGTTTTCCCTCTAGTTCTTCTCACCTTTTGTTATATTTGTTCTTCCACCAAGCACAGTGTGCTTCGTCGTCATTGTTGGAAGAAGTAATAGAAGTAAACGAAAAAAACGAAGCGGTGGTGTGTGGTAAAGAGTGGATGAAGGCAGACAACAATCATCAACAACAATGCTTTTTCTGTGTATTTGCTCTTGCTTATCTCCCCTTCCTCCCGTTGTTCGTTTCCTTGTATAATTTTCGCATTCTGTGTGCTTTTCTCATTTGGCTTTTGCCTTTGTGTTCTTTGGTTCTTTATCGTGTTTTTCTTCTTTGTTGTGTCGTTGTTCAACAACTAAAAAAATACACATGTTTCTGCAGTAACGAGAAATAAAGCATGGCAAAAAATGTGTGCGTCTGAGAGAAGCAACTGGAAGAAAATTTGTTGATTGATTATTTAGTTAAGAGAGGGGTGAGGGAGATACGAATGAGCGAGGGGAGACATAAAAAACAATAGCAAAAACAAAAGCTGCTGTCAGGAATAAAAAGCCGTAAACTAAACAATTTTAGAGCGGCAGATGTGTGTTGTTGAGTGTATTTCTATTTTTAGTGGTGCTGCTTGTGTGCTTTGCTTGTCATCAGTCAGTGGCCGTGATGTGTAATTCCATGGCAAATGAGGAGGAATGCCTACCCCCATGTATATCTTCCCCTGTAGTTAACACAATTTCCTCATATTTACGTGAGTGTGTATGTGTGACCTTTGCAAAAACCCATTAATGCCGGCTTCTCGTTAATGTCTTCTTTTTTATTATGGCTTGAAAGTACTTGAACTATAAACATTAATTACGTGAGAATAGAAACATGTGTATACAACGAGAAAATGTGTTTTTGTTGTTGATGAGAGGGCTTTTTGGGAGAGTTGTGTATTTTCATAATGTCATGTAAATGTTACAAGGCAGATTCATGCCATCGGTACTAATCGAATTTCGATAACTTGTGAAAGTGATTATCGTTTGAGGTTTAAAATGGTTTTTTTAACGGCCTTTTTCCTCTAATTAATCATTTCCAAAGCGAACTTATGAACATTTTAAGTACAAAATGATTAATAATGGGCCAAAGCTGAATGTTGTTTCGCCTTAACCCCTGTCATTTCGAGATATATTGACATATGATCTATTTCATTCTGATTTTCTATTTCAAGGACGTTGTTTTTATATCAATAATGTGTATAAGAACTCAAAAATGTATTCAAACATTTTTTTTACCTGATTTAGATCTCTTTTTAATCCACAAGCTTTTTTACATGTTTGATACTTTTGTTTTTTCATATGGCGGAGCTGAATCACTTATTGATTTATTTAAATGGGGTTTATGTCAAAAATTATTATCTGCATTCTAATTTATCAATCTGAGGTGTTGAAAGATCATCATGTTTGAATCCTATTGACATTCATGCACAAAAATGACACATTTATATTCCGAATTCTACTCGCCAGAAATTTCACAAAATTTAATATTTAATAATAAAAAAAATATATTTACTTAAACGACAGGTTTTTTGTGAAAGCCAGCAGCACACACAAAAAAATGGTTAACATCACCCCACCCCAAGGTGTCGATTTGCGTGTTAGTCACACGTTATTCCACAATCAATGCGCTCTACAAAAGAATACAATAAATTTTTAATGTTAAATTAGAATTTAGATAAGGGGTGACATTTTCAGCGACTTGTGTGTGTGTTGTTTAAAAAGACATTTCTAATTAATTTTGCTTGGGTATTTTAGACTACGTATTTTTATAAAAAATGTTTTATTTATTTTTTTACTTTTCATTTTTAGCGAAACCCCCGTTGTCGAGAAAGTTGCAGCAGAAGAAGTTGATGCTGGCAAGAAGGATGTAGCAGAAAAGGAAGTCGTTGCCGACAAAACAGATGCTGCCGACAAAAAAGAAGCTGCCACCACCGACAAAAAAGAGGGTGAAGAAGCAACCACCACTGAAAATGGTGATGCTGCCGCCGCTGAAAGCAGCGAAAAAGCCAAGGAGAATGGTGATAGCGAAGCTGCTGCCACAGAAACAGACGGTGCTGCTGCCGCTGAAGCCGAAAAAACCCCTGCTGCCGCTACTGAAGAATCTGCGCCAGCCGCTGCCGAAGAAAACGGCGTAGAAGAAACTGCCAATGGCGATTCTACAGGTAAATAATTAAAATACCCCACACAAATTACGTTCAAAAATAATTTTAACACATCTTTTTTTTCGTTTTGTGTTACAGACTCCGCTCCCGCTGAAGCTGTCAAAAGGAAAGTCACCGAAGGTGAAGCCAAAACAGACGAAGCTGCTGAAGTGACACCCGAAAAGAAAGCCAAGTTGGAGGAAACTTCAAAAGAAGAAGTCCAAAATGGTGCGGAGGCTTCAGAAGTAGCGGCTTAATTAATCTCTCTCCATTAAACACACACAACAACCTACCCTCTACTATATATAATATATATTAAAAATAACACACAAAAACTAATTCTAATAATTTACTTACATTAACATTAAAAAAATGAAAACTTAAGAAAACAAATCCTACAAAGCGAAAAGAAAATCACAAAAAAAAACACGGAAAGATGAAAACCTCTGTAAACTACCTACAAAACAAAGAACACCAACAACAAACAACCAACCATTCAACAAAAACAACAAACAAACTACAACAATTTCAAGACATTTCAAAATAATTTTTATAGACATTTAAAACAAAACAAAAAATATAAAACAAAATTTTAAATACATTTCTACTCGTCTTGTACTGAATTATTTCATTTTGTTAGAGAGATCGATCAAAAAACAACAAATATTTTAACATTTTCCTAAAGCAAAGGATTAAAGAAGAAGTGAATCCATTTTTAGTTTTTTTTTTTATACATTGGTCTTGGTCCATGTATCCCCATATTCGATTACTAGATTTGTGTATGACTTCTGATATATGGTTACCATTATTTTGTCAACCTACAGAAATTTTGCTAAGCATATATTTTTTCTTTGGATGATAAAATAAGGGATTATTTATTGGTTGGATTTATTGCAATTCATCTCATACGTGTATTATCACAAGAGAAATGTACTATAATTTTACTTATACGTATATATGTATACTTTTAAGTTATGTGTCCCTGCCAAAATCTCCTCTTCTACCATATCTCTCCATTTAATCTGAGAAGAATTCCTTTACGTTTTTTTTTTTACATTCACACACACAAGGATGATCCTCATATATTTTTTATCTTGTACTTCGAATAATAATTGATAGACAAATAGTATGAAAGAACACACACACACACATCATCAGTTGAAACAACAACAAAAACAACACTACCTATACCAGACAAAAGAAGTAAAAGGCTAAAATGTTGTAAAAAACCGTAATAACAAAAAGTATATTTAAAAACAAGAACAACAACAAAAACATTCAATAAAATACATTCGATTGAAAACAAAACAAATAAAACACAAACATTTGAAAAAAAAATGAAAGATCTTTTTATTTTAATTAAATTGGAAAACAGATTTTAAGCTGAAAGAAGGAAGTTTTCAAGTTCGGTTGGCTCGATAACGACGGAACTATACATGGGTATGGGGAAGTCCAAAATGATCGGATTATAATTGAAACATCAAATGGGTTGAATGGAATGATGATATGGGTTGGTATGTTAAACATTTTTGTATTGAATATTAATGTTCCAACTGTTTTAGTATGACCAAAAGTTTGTCATTGCCAGGGCCGACCACTACACGGAGATTCGATCAACGTTTTTTTTTTTTGCATTGGGTAATGAATATAGAAATTAATAGGAAATTGGAATGAGAGTTGAATAAAAAAACCCTCAAAATATCTTTCATCCTAAAAGGGATAACATGCTCCGATTTGGTCCGATTCCCATGCAGAATATCTTGCGTTGTAGATTCTTTAATTATCCAGATCGTAGAAGGCACGTTTGTAATGCAAACACATGCGCGATATTCAGTTAATAAAAAAGCTATTTTCTGAATAGAAAAGCTTATGGAATTTTTTCGAAAGTTTTAACGAGTGATTCACATTATGATGAATCATATTAAATGTGCACTGCGTATTTTGTATAAAATATAAATTTCAATGTATACATATATCGCATGTAATAGCATTTGGCGATTCAACTAGATTTCACAACTAAGACAAAAATCGTAAAAGCGTGGTACAATATTGTTCTTAATATTAATGTATATATTTTTTTGCTTTGTGGACATTAAACCATTCTAGAATAATGCTTTGGTCCATTGAAACTGAACCTGATAAGCATTTGAAAGTATTGAAAAAAGAATTAATTATTAATATTGAATATAATTATTTTATTAATTATAATTTTTATTACAATGAAAAACGTATCGTTCTTAAAACAACCTTCAATGAAATTATTTCGATAAAACCCGATAACTAACATCGATCGATCGTAAATGAAATATTTTAGAGGCAAGAATGCAACACAGAGAATTTTTGTCAATTTCCATCTAGATTCCATGGCTAATTTGTCAATATTTTTTTAGTCAATCGTCAACTTTTTTGTTGCCTACTTTGTGGCTGAGGCATGTTTTACACCTTAGCTAAACACAAAATAATGAGGGGGAAAGGAAAAATGACGAGTCAGAACCGTAAATCAATTTCTAATTATTTGAGTCGTTTATTTTGAAAGGGGTTTAAGTCAATTTTTTCTTATATTGAGATATGTAACAAAGGTCCCACCTTCAGGCCTTATCTAGGTTTGGTTCAAAACGGAAAATCCATTCGCCTGACATTGGATTTATAAAAATTGAAAATTTTGAACATTCGGGGGGGAGGTACCAGAAGGATGGGACCAATGGTTTCCATCTTCGGGCTTGATCTAGGCTGGGTAAATATAACACGCTGTGCAAAGTTTGGTTCAAATCGGATACTCCATTCGCCTGATATTTGATTTATAAAGATTGTCAATTTCCACCATTTTGTGAGGGAGTTATCAGAAGGATACGCTCAATCAGAATTTTCATAGCTGAATAAACGACTTTTGTGAATTTTCTTAAAATTTAGATGGTCTTAATGAAAATTTCGGTGAAAAGCCTTAGCTGAATTAGAATTTCCATTGCTGAATAGTCGATTTTTATGGATATACCTCAAATTTTGGATATCTTTATGAACATTTCGGGGAACAATTTTAGCTGAATTTTAATTAACTTTGATATGTCTTTATGACGAATTCTTTAAAAAAATTAGGTTAATTATAATTTCTGTAGCTGAATTGCCGATTTTTATGGATATTCCTAAAATTTAAGATGTCTTTATGAAAACATTTGTTGAAAAATCTCAGCTGAATTAGAATTTTCGTAGCTAAATAATAGATTTTTATGGATATTCTAAACATTTGATATATCTTTATGAGGAATTCTTTAAAAAAATTAGCTTAATTATAATTTCCGTAGCTGAATAATCGATTTTTGTGGATATTCCTCAAATTTAGGATGTCTTTATGAAAAAAAATTCGTTGAAAAATGGACACATTTAAAATAAAAGCCTCATTTTATTTCTTTGCAGTTGAGACCTTTAGTTATTTCATCATATTGTTTGCTGGGTAGTTGGCAATGAATAAACTCTCTCTCTCTCTCTATAATATTTTGTTCATCATCTCGGCGCTAAATAAAAACATTATTGGTAAAACTTAATCTGTGTCATAGTCATATTAATGACGCACAATGCTTTGTAAACGTTGCTCTCACTCTGTGTATATCTCTTATGCCAAATAACCTTATTTTGGTACCAATCGACTAACTAACAATTTCCATGTGAAATTCCAACACATCAAAATACGTCAACAGAGCAGCCTGACAATCAGAGCTCATTTCCAGTAATCAATTGGTTAGTTTGTGAGCGCTATCCACACTGAGAGAGATGAACATCAAAAGAAATTAGAAGAGAGCATCTTAGGCTGTCGGCCAGGGATGGAAAATAAAAAATGTGAAAAGGTACCAAAAGAGTACATTTTTTAATAAAAGGGTACTTTTTTCAAGAAAATACAAAAAAAAATATTTTATTCAGTTTCATAAAGATCGATTTTCAAGATATCACTTAGTGTACCTTTCTGATGGTAATAATATGAGAATTCTTGCTTCTTTCGATTGCATTTGAATATGTATGCTACTGACTAATTTCAAATTCATTACCTCTTTCTCGAAAGCCAATACATATACCCCAAACTAACATGAATTTCAGTTCCAAAGTGCTCTTAAAATTATTGAAGTAAACACGACGACTAGGAATATCATCAATTTGCCTACCTTAGGAGATAGCAGAGTATTCCAAATTGAGTATCTGACAAACATATCCATTTGTAATTTTAATCATAACTGAACAGTTATCAGTCGAAAACCTGTTCATTTTTTCAAGAGAAATATTGCAATCACATCAATATCTTTATCTGCATACTTTTGTCGGTAAATCCATAACAAATTCTAATCCAAAAAAAAAAAAAAAAAAAAAAAAAATATATATATATATGTCATTGCTTAATGAAGTATTGGAATGGTACTGAAATAGTCACGGGGGTACTACGGTACTTTTTTGGGTAAAAAGGTACTGAAAAAAGTACTATTGTACTGAATTTTCCATCCCTGCTGTCGGCATATGTTCTCCTTGCTAACAATTGATAACGTTTCTTGTGAGACGACGGAGAAAGAACAACAACAACAAAGACTCCAACAAAACACTCTCGGCCCGTTTGAATAATATCAGTCTTCTTGCTGTTTTGTTCAGTATTCTGTGAGAATTGAATGCAAGTGCATGAAAAAGCGGAATAAATCTTGAAATTCGTTTGTTGTGTAAAGCATTTTTGGATTTTCGTTATATTTTGCAAATAACAAACAATAAACCTAAAATAAAAAGAAAACGATAGTAATTTATAACGTGAAATAAAACACAAAACATTGTTGCTGGCCGATTCGTGTGTGTTTTTTTGGATTAAGGAAGCAACAACAGTTATAAAGAGCCTATACACCTGTGTGATACGTAAAATAAACGGTTTTTGTGGCATGTGACTGGCTGATTGTGAAAAAACAGCAAAAAACCTTGCGGTTATTAAATAATAATAATTACATTCATTCAACTAGTATAATTTATCATTTATTTGCCAAACTGCAACGCCGCCGCCTGCTATTACACTCAACACTTGTCATTTCCAATACCGAGGTTAATTATCGACTCACGCATCGACGAACGCATCGCCTGCGTTTTCATAATCACCCATCACCACCAACAACAACAACATCATCATCAACTAACAACAACTGTAATTCAAACAAGAAGTATCACAGAATTTTGTGTCCTACAGCAGCCAATAAGAAGAACAAGAACTAGCCGAAGATTGGAAAGTGGAAAGACAGGAAGAATACAACCACAACAATATATATGGCTTCCTCCTTGAGGACGGTAAGTTTTATTCGTCTTTTCTTTTGGGTACTTTTCCATTATCTCAGTGCCCGTGTAATTGTGCCATTTAACACGTGGATTAACCTATCATGGCTATATTGCGTCCCCAATTGCCAACTCATAAAATCAACAAAAACAATAATAACAAAAAAAAACATTGTTGTTTCGTAA